TTTTGAGAACGGCTTCAAAACGTCAAACTTTGGTTAAAATGTGATTTTAATTACAACCAATAAATTGTGGCTTAGTCCCATATAAACATAATATTTAAAAAAGAAGTTTAATCCGGAGTCACATACGTGGATTTTTCTGTCGTTAGTACATATTATTATGTGGGGTGTGACAAACCCCAATTTCTAAGAAAATCAGAATTTTTTCTGGCAGTTTTTTTATATGTTTTCTAATTTTATGGTCTGAAGTGATCATCTAAGGACTATTTAAGCAAAAAAAGAAATAATCAGAACACCTTTATTCAAAAGAAATTAAAAATAAACTAATAATAGGCAATTCTCCATAAGCAAAAAACCACAACTTTACTGAACAATCTTAGCAAAAAATATAAACACCATATATGATCAAAATACAAATCCGTGTGGAGTGTCTGTCTTCCATCGGACGCGTCCCCAGGTGGTGGATAGGGGAACGCCTTAACCGGTCCCAGGATCGGCGGGTAGGTGGGAAATAAAATACCACCCGCGAACCAAAACAGATTAAGGTATGGTAACCCTAACAGAAGAGTCTCTGGTCCTTCAAGTCTGGGGGTTGGGCGTAGGGCGTAGGGCTAACAACCCTACCCTGGAAAAAAAGAATTGTTACGAAAGCTGAAAAAACAAAAACTGGACGGACCTTATGTAGACGATCTCGCAAAAGAAAAAGGATATTCGATTTGGATCATGGAACGTGAGAACATTGTACCCTGCAGGAGCGATGAGGTGTCTCTTAGACACTCCTAACAAATATAATATGGACATAACAGCTATACAGGAGATGCGATGGAAAGGGACCGGTACTCTCCAGAAGAATCTGAATACCATATATTATAGCTGCCATCAAACTCAACATATCTTTGGCGTAGGCTTTGTAGTTAGCAAAAGAGTTAATAACCTATTAATAGGTTTTGACGCTATAGATCATAGAATATGTGTTCTAAGAATAAGTGGAACATTCTTTAACTATAGTCTTATAAACGCACATGCCCCCACTGAGGATAAAACAGACACAGAAAAAGAAGAATTCTATGAGAAACTAGAACAAACATATAGACAGTGTCCCAATAATGACGCTAAGTTGATTATCGGAGACATGAATGCCAAGGTAGGACAAGAGGAGATGTACAGACCAACCATATGACCTTACAGCATACACAAAGAATGTAATGATAATGGGACGAGACTTGTAAATCTCGCAGCATCTCTGAACATGACGATCAGTAGCACATACTTTCAACATAAACGTATACATAAAGTGACGTGGACATCGCCAGATCATCAGACCCAAAATCAGATAGACCACGTACTGATTGATTTAAGACATGGATCAGATATACTAGACTGCAGAAATTATAGAGGTGCAAATATTGACTCCGATCACTATCTCATAGCCGGACGTCTCAGAGCACGTATATCAAACGCCAGGAACGATAAAACTAAACCAAAAATAATCAAATATAATGTTGATAAATTAAAGTGTACTGAAGTCGTAAGAAACTTCCAAATATGCTTAGATCGTAAAATATCGGAACATCCCAGAAGTCAGGTATATCCCACTGAACTTAACACAAATTGGGAGTTTATGAAAACCACGCTCAAAGAAACCGTAGAGGAAGTGCTGGGAGAAGTACCCAAAGGACAGCGAAAGAACTGGTTTGATGAGGAATGCCAACGAGTAACGAAAGAGAAGAACGACGCGTATATGAAAATGATCAACAGAAGGACTAGGAGCAATGTTGAAGAATATCGAGTAAAGAGACGAGAGGAAAAACAAAAACACAAACAGAAACAGCGGCAACAAATAAATAAAGAGTTCGAAGAAATGGAAAACCTTAATAGAGAACACGAATACAGAAAATTTTACAAACAGGTTAACACAAAAAGAAAAGTTTTCAAACCACAAGCGAACCAAGTCAAGGCCCTTAACGGAATTCTTTTAAACGAGAGAGTGGAAGTACTAGAAAGATGATAGGAACATTTTAGTACGCTACTTAATGGAGAAAGTAGAGCTGAAGGTAGATATGATATAGAAATATAACACGAGGATACTGAACTACCAACTTTGGAAGAAATAAACAAAGCAATTCAGTCTCTAGCCAGAAACAGGTCACCCGGAGCAGACAACCTACCAGCAGAAATATTTAAATGTGGCGATCAAACATTTGTAACCCTCCTTAACAAACTACTAATACAGGTATGGCAATAACGCGCGTTACCAGAAGATTGGAATACTGGAATTATATGCCCCATACACAAAAAAGGAAACGTTATTGAATGTTCCAACTTTAGAGGGATTTCCCTTCTTAATACAGCATACAAAATTGTGTCCCTGATACTTAACGAACGACTGACACGGTATACTGACAATATAATAGGATCCTATCAAAGAGGCTTCTTGAAAAACAAATCTACCATTGATCACATATCATCTATCAGACAAATATTAGAAAAAACGACGGAGTACGACATAGACTGCCATTACATCTTCGTAGACTTTAAGGCAGCGTACGATACTATTGACAGGTCCCTTATATTCGGCGATGATCGAATTAGGAATACCAAAAGGTTTGGTAGAATTAATTAAAATGACAATGATGAAAGTCGAATGTAAAGTGCGCGTACAAGGGGCTGTTTCAAAACCATTTAAAACCAACAGAGGACTGCGCCAGGGTTTAATTGTACCCGTTTAGGATCTGTTGACCCTCTTCAGGCATGAGTTTGAATGTTGTTGTTTGTACGTGCAAAGGCAAACACCCCAAAATCACCGGCGTAAAGTTCTTCTCCGTCTTCTTCTTGATGTTTTTTGCACCTTTTTCTTCTCCTGGAGGAGTTTGTGTCGGCATGCGAAGAGCCAGAGAACCAGGGAGAAAGGCTTTGTTGTAAATGTTGTTCTTTTCAGTTTGTCGTGTGTGTGTTTTGAGCTAGGTGCGACAAGACCGGGTCTCTAGTGACCATTGGTCCTGTGCATTATCGAGCTTTACCCGTCCGCGTAACCAATGTATTACACTGTAATTTCGTGGACGGGAGTGCTCGTGAGTGGAGGCGCCTCGGCTTTCTAGAGTCGGCTTGTCGCACGTTGCTTAGTATGAGTGTGTGTGATATTCCAACAGTGACGGACGCTACCATTTCGGTGTTACTGACTCCTCGAACCATCTAGATTCTCCCCGGCCGACCTCAAACCCCGCGTAAATACACATGATTTCTGTATTACTATTCCTTATTATAAAAATAAGGAATACTTTCCGTTGCTGGCGCCATCTATGAGCATTAGCCACTATTATGGTATGAATTTCTGATGTTATTTTGTTATACTTTAGAAAATAAATATTTGAAAACAAAATATTTTAATGATTTGAATTTCACAATGCGTTGTTATAACTTGAATTTTTGTTGAATATTTACATTAGATACAAAACCAAATAAAAGTAAAACACAGCAATGTCACAGAATAAATAATGCAATGTGTCTTGCACTCCGCAGACGTAATTTTTTTTACAAACGGCAAATAATATTATCATAGATACCTATAATATTTTTACTTGTACATTCTACATATCAAACTTTGAACATAATAAAATCACAGTATAAAAATATTGTCTATACTGTGATAAAATGATAAAAAATTTACTTATTTCGTTAGTAGCACCATCTGTGCAGTTTACGCCTAAACTAACGATATATAATTTAAATTTGGCGGAATTCTATTATGTATAAAACAGCAAACAAAGCAGTACTTTATTTATCAAATTAAAAACATTTGTTAAGAAAGTGTTTATAAATACTCTAAAGTTTGATCTTGTAATTTGGGGAATGTTTTTAAAAAATTCTTTTTAGTTGCTGACAAAAGTTAAAATCAAACCATAAGACAAAAGTTATGTTTAGAACTCAACTTCCGTGATCATAAGAAAAACCCTAAAAAACAAATTGTGATATTATTAAAAATTACCAAGGACACCATTATAACTGAAACAAAAAAAAGTTACAAACGTTGAAAAATGTATAAAATACAACTATTTTATGACGACAAAGTAGAATAAGTAGAAGATAAAGGAGAAATCACCGGATCAGAAATAATAAAATAACCAATTTATTGCGTAAATACACACACACACACACACACACACACACACACACACACACACACACACACACACAAATGGCGGAAAAGCTCCAACACCGAATTAAATACGAATAAAACTGTTAACAATAATTAAAAAAAAAACATATATCTTCTGATAGATATATTTAACCGTATAACTGTATAAGACAGAATGTACACTCAAAGACTGAATTCTCTTAACTTTCGTAGTGATTCCCAAAATGAGAGATATAAAAGTTGGACCATTAAAAAATCAAGAGTCGTATTCTGAAAACTTTCTTTAAAATATACGTAGTAGTAAATTTAGAACATTGTAAAAATAAATAAGTGTTTCATAAAAGATTCACAAGTGATTCAGAAAAGCATAGTTTGAGCAAAGAATAAAGAAGCATAAATGCGGTTTGAGGTAATTTTTTTTGATACAATGATGTCTAAATATGTCCAACATACATAAAGTGTATGTGTGTAACAACTTACAGTTTATAACAACCTACATATTATTATACAGAATAATATTTTTTAAATCGATTTCCGGATTGGAAATTGGATTGGTCCGAATTGGAAGTTTAATTTAAGTTTACTGCATTGGAACATTAGCCATAACGGATTTGGTTGTCTGAAGCAGCGCCCTCTGGCCGGCTTCTCTTTCTACCGCCATTACAAACTGAACTCAACAACCTCTTTTCATCTTCGACCCGTTTGCCGGCGTCTGCTTCTAAAACATTTCTGTTAAAATCACAAACCATCCGTTAAAAGAAATGGCAGATGAATATTTTTTTGGTAAGTTTAACATATTTTAGCATTATTACGAAGTATATTTTTTTTTATATAAATGTCACTTCGTTCAGTAAAGATACGTTAGATCAAGTTAGTCTTGTTCGGGAAGCCGGCATTTGCGCGCCATTGTAGTTAGTACTAGGAAAACGGGAGTTATTTTTGCAATTAACAATGGTTGTTTCTCTTCATTTTGCAGCTTTAACCCTCAAAGGTAAAAACAGTGAAATCTGGGATCCAGAAGCGAAGGGAGCTGAGGATTATCAAGGGGGACATAAATTGATCATTAAACAAGCTTTGTTGGGACCCGAAGCCCAAGAAGGTGAGTGTGCTTTATATTATGTATTCGCGGTTTTTAATCTAATCAGTATTTATTTAGATAGTTTTATCAAAACATTGCACATTTCTTTAGTCCTACAGATATTCACTTTGTTTATTACGCCCGCCCATTTCAAACGCCATTATTTCGGCGTCTAGATGCAATATACACGTTTTCGCTAAAACAATTTCGTTAGGAATGTTTTTATTAAGAAAAATTAGTAGTCTGCCTGTTCTGAATAAATAATAGCCTTTCCTGCAGAATATTGTAAAATTTTTGCTGAATCTGATGACTTTATCACTTTTAGTTCTCACAGCACAATTCGTCAAAAGGCTATTTTGTATTATTCAATAACAATTTCACCCTAATTTTCTAGCTAATTAATAAAACGCCATGTGAATTTAATGTAACTGCACTCATGGATTCTCCCTCCATTTTTTTAATGTTTTGTATTCTGGCTTTGCTTTCTTATAAAAATTTTTGCCTTGCTCTGCCTAGTTGATTCCATGGTTAACAAGCCTTCTAAATTAACATTTGTTTTCTCTCTTCATAGTTCCAACATTTTTTTTAGTTTACTCACCATTGCAGAATATCTTTTGTTTTACATTTTATTTTATTTTGCACAGTTTCCACATCGCTATTTTTATGGGTAGTATATATACCAATTTTTCTTATCTAGTTTTATACTTCTCCTTTCAGTGTTATACTGATCTTTTACTTACCTGTGTCCTAAGTTTAAGAATATTTTGTTTTAACAAAGACAGATTTTGTATATGTATTACTGTACATACTTTGCTTTTTTATTTTCCATGTTTCACATAAAAACCTTAGTTATGTTATTTAGGTATAGTTTTATTGCATTACATTGCACAATATTCTGAATCATAAATACATATTGTACTTACATCTTGCATCATGATTTCAAACCTTTTTTTTTAATTAAATAAAAAATTGAACAAAAAATTCCTCATTGGCCTTCTTTTATCAGTTCTACTGGGAAAATGCTAATACAAGATTTTAAAATTCAGTGAAATCTTCATATTTCTAGTTCTTATCATCCTTAGATCTCTTGTTATGAATGGAAATCATTCTGTTATCCTACTGTCTGGCCGTTAAACCCAATTACTGGTTTGCAAAATCTACATGTATTAATATTCAAGGTCAACATTTTGTTATAAACCTTTTTAAATGAATTGAAAAATTCTTAATTATAGGGCCAGAAATTTATCCAAATTTTGTTATTCAGTGAAATGTTTAAGCCTTTTTCAAAGTTCCTACCACTAAATGGTCTAAACACTAGAAAATTGGTTGACCAGCCAATTTTCCTATTTACAAGCAAGTACATAACACTTTTCCTTGTGCTATCAACTTTTGTATTGCAATTCTATCTAGTGAAATCTTCTCTTATGAAGTTTCCCATGTGCTTTACATGTACAATCCTGTGTGAATAATGTGGTTATTAGTAGTTTGTAAAGACTTAAAACAAGAGTGCTTTTTTAATATGTATTTACCATTGTAGGTGAAGTAAATGTCGTTCAAGTAGAAGCTATGACGTGGAAAGACTCAGTTAAAATTCCAATTGCCACATTAAAAGCCGGAGGCCCAAACAACCAAGTATTGTTAGATCTGTCATTCCCAGACCCACCAGTCACATTTTCACTTATACAAGGTAAGTTTTTTACAGTTATTTTTTCTTTTTAAATGTAGGAACAAGAAGATTCATGACAAGTTCAATACCAATTTCCACTGGTAAGATGTCTGTGTAGATATTGAAATGTTTCTAAAATCATTAGTTTGTTTTGTTCGAACTATACCTTTGCAAACAACTAAAAACTAGTTATTTTAAGTGTAACAGTGACTAGGAGACACACAAAAAGTTTTAGTAACACTCAGGATTAAAGTCTCATAACTATGTGTATTTTTAATGCTTGGTTCTAAAAATTGTGTAAATTTTTAGGTAATGGACCAGTTCACATTGTAGGCCATCATTTAATTGGTAGTCCTATGGAAGAATTTGATGAAATGGACGAATTAGAAGAGGAAATGTTGGATGATGAAGAAGGGGAAGAAGGAGCTGTAAGTATTGACTGTTTCTTGATCTTTTGTGGGTTTTAATCCTTAAAACTTTTCTAAAATAAATTTCCGTTTTATGATATGAAAAAAGATGTTGATTTAAGCGTTTTTAAATAGGTACTTGCACAAATTGTTCTGTTTAATTCAGTTCCCAGACAAATCCCAAAACACATTTGGCAAAATTCGCTACATATGTTAATTTGGTCCATTTTTTTATATTTCTTTCCTTGTGATGTTTTTGGGAGACAATTTCCATAATATTTTTGATGAGATTTATCACATTTGATAATTAATTCTATCCATATTTCATTTTTTTTTTCATCATGATGTTTTTGCTTAAGTTTGTGACTTTTTTATTTGCTCTATGCTTTCTTTTATCTCATTAGGTTTATCACATAATGTCATATTTTATTAAATATTATTATCTAGGAAATTTGGGAAAAGCAGCAACCTTTATTTTCCTTAATAATTCTACTTGTCATATTGTTTTTAATCCCTTTACATGCAGCCATGGCTGCTGCTACTTGCTTTGCTCACTGCCCTGCCTAAAATAATTCCTTGTCAGCATTTAAGGCAAATGAGTTTACATAAAGTTACCAAAGTGCTGCATCAGTGTACCATCAACAATGAAGGGCACAAAAATTACTGCGGTGACAGCTCTATGTGTTTTAAGTTTACAAAATTATCTTTAAACATTTTAAAAACAAATAAGGTAGAAAAAATGTCGGATGTTGAAAAGTCTTTTATTTGGATAATAATCTGAAAATGGGTTCAAACATTTTTTTACAGAGGAAATATTACTTTTTCAATCAACTGACTTGGATTCCTAAGGAACTAAGGAATCTGGAGAATTTTTTAACTTTATCAGATTGTTGTACATAGATTTTGAATTTCTGCTTCAGAAATTTGAGCCCATGATAAAAAATAGGCTAAAGAATTCCAACACCACCAAAAATATGCTTGGCAATAACATTACGATATTTGGCCACTGGGGACACCAAAGTTTGCATTATTGAAAGTATCATCAGCAGCAATTTCGCAATTGTGCCAGTAGTTTGTAAAGCCGTTAATATCGTTTTAAAGGACCAAATTTTAATTTAAGGGACACACTGCATTGGGTATATTGTGCTTTTTTTTTCATGATCTTTATGTGTAGAATCCACAACAATCTCTCACTAGCATATAGCTCTAAAAACTTCAGCGCTTGCTGAATTGCACTCAAAATAAACAAATTAAGTCCAGGCACTGACAAGACAGTGAGCAGCATGTAAACAGTTACTTTCATGTGCATTGCATTTCCTTTGATTTCTGCCCAAAACAGCCAATAAAGGGAGCATATGACAGCGACAGTGGCATGAGTAATGGCAACGCAAGTTATATGTTTACATAATCAAGCTGCCAACTTCCCTGCTCACTGTTGCGGAAGTAAGCTTCATGTAAAGGAGATATTTGACCTACTTGAAGTATCTATCGGTATTGTCAGGTATTTTTCTGTTCATTGTCAGTCCATATACCTTGAAATACTTAAATTTATATAAGAAAGACAAACATTTCCCAATATCCATACAATCCCATTCCCTATGGGATTTTTAGTTCATTCCTTGTGTTTTTTTTCTTATTTTTGCTACATATTTTTTCCAGTCCAAGAATTGTTAAGGATTCTTTTGTTTTAAATGTATTTGCATTTGAATCATGTGATTTTTCTTCTAGGGCTCCTGTAATTTCAGTTTTGATTAGTAATATGTTAATTATCCATGTGTGTGTACCTTTCTGTGGCCTGAGTTTTTTAAAATCACATTGTTTTCTAGGTTTATAAGTTGGTTTGCTAAATTTACATACTTCTTGTTTTTCTAAGTACTTGATATAGCCAAAGTTTTTTACAAAGTTATAGAATACAGTTTAAAAAATCTTTGTTACCTTGTATGGTCGGCAAAATGAGAAAGGAGAACTGTTGGTCATAGTAACTCAAGTACTTAGAAAATGAAACTTTTAAACGGGGAATTTACCATCTGGACACAGGCCTAAAACTGACGAATTCAAAAAAATATTTGCCAATATGCAAAGAAAACCTTGATACGCAGAAAAATTGAGTTGGATTCAACATGATTTAAATCAATTCATTAATTTCCCATGGTTAAAAATATTTAAAATGAATTGAAACACAATAAATGAATAAACACAAAACAGCTTCAAAACAACAATAATTTTATTGTGTTCCATTTCACATTTGAAATATTTTTTGATCATAGCCTGAAGACCAGTAGTTAATATAAAGAGACATTTTTGTGTGCTGAAGTCCTTTGACTATTGCTTATTATTTTCGATAGTCATACTTTTATCCAATAGTTTACTTTTTTCTTTGTGGTTTTTATGAAAGTAATCTTATTATATTGATAAGGTTTTAGTACAGCCAATTAATAAAGAGTGGTTGGTTATAATAAGGCCAATAATTTTATTGACAAGGCATTACCATTTTTTAGGCGAACATAAAAAAACGGAAATCAAATGGAAAAGTAAAGGTGTGACTTGATCCAAATCCCTCTAGTTCCAATAATTTTTTATATTTCAGGAGGAGGACGAAGATGAAGATGAACCCAAAGCCAAAAAAGCAAAATCAGCGACTAACGCCAAGGGCAAAACTCCCGTTAAAAACAATTCAAAGGCTGCAAAGAAATAAAAAGTTCATCTAATCCCCAAAACCACCTCCTTTGTAATGTTAAGTTAGTTTTTTAATGTATCTCTCGGAGTTGTTATTCATCAACAGATCAATAGTAACAATTTCTCTTATAATATAAGTATAATATGTTTCTTGACGTCATAAGATTTTGTGAAAGTTTCTTTTATTCCAGGTGTAACTCTTAGTTTTAATGTGATTAATATTTTTAAGTTGGAAACGTATTTATTTCCTTTAAAATCATCCAATTTTGTTGTAAATATGCAGCCCTCATTAAACCATTTTTTGTAGTAAATCCTTTAGTGTTTTATTTATTTTCGAACAGTAGACAAAGAAGACAATATTTGATGCAAGTATCTGACAACTTTTGATAAAATTATTAATAACAGTATGTAATTACTGGTAATTCATATTGTAGACCTGATGCATCATTTAGTGATGTTGATCTACGAACGAAACAATGATATCAGATATGCATTGCTAAAAGCATGCAGTTCTCTTCAGTGCGTTATTGTAGCGAGACAAAGACAAACTAGTTTTTGCGTTAGTGAAATAGCTTATATTATTTTTTTGTGAACAATCGTTTTAAATATTTTATAGTGGGGTACTATTTATGTTCAGTGTATTTAGTCGTTTTTAACGTTTTACAGTGAGATCCTAAAAATGTAAGCTTAATTATGTTTATTTTGATATATTTTTTTGCAACCTTTTTCTGTCAGTTTCTGATACTTTCTTCTTCTTCTTCGGGTTCCTTCTCCTAGCGGAGGTTGGAAATCATCATCGCTATTTTAACTTTGTTGGTCGCATTTCTGAATAATTCTAATGAGCTGCAGCCGAACCACTCTCTCAAATTTCTTAGCCAGGACATTTTGCGTCGTCCTGGGTTTCTCTTCCCTTGTATCTTCCCTTGCATAATCAACCTCAGTAATATGTACTTCTCACCCCTCATTAAATGTCCCAGATATTGAATCTTTCTAATTTTAACAGTTTTTATGACTTCACATTCTTTCTTCATTCTTTGTAACACCTCTATATTAGTTACTTTTTCAATCCACGATATTTTATGTATTCTCCTGTAGCACCACATCTCAAAGGAGTTTAATTTTTTGATTTCAGACTGCTTTATTGTCCACGCTTCCATGCCATATAGTAAAGTAGAGAAGACGTAACAACGTAGCATTCTGATACTTTAGTTTGGGCTTATTTGATTTTAAAACATGGTTTTTAGTTGTTTGAGGCCCTTACCACAACCTAAAAATGGATTTATACAAAACTGTTTGTATGGGTGACCTCCTGAAACATTATTTTCGAGGAATTGGAGGTATGCTTAAAAGGTTTATTTATGAGCCAAATTAGTGCAATGTAAATATTTTACATTTTTACACAGCATTTCATATCGCACTGAAGACGGGAAGTCGTAAATTTTTATTACATCTTTCAATGTGAGATAAAATAAAATTCGATGACTAACTGGAATAATGTAAGATTAGAGAAACATAATATGTCATGTTTATTGGAAATACTCCATATCATTAGCACATGCAAATCTTACCCTGTCACCTATTTTCGGGCATGCGTATTTACGAGGCTTTGAAACATTTCTACCACAATGTGCAGAAGATTGAACATCATTTTTACTTAAAAACAATATAAGATTGCTATTTGATTTTAAATACTTCAACTGAAGACTGGGAACTTATATGGCAGTTAATTTTATTAAAAAACAGGAAATCCTTTCAAATGAGTGTTTGTAGTTTTTTTGATAATTAGTTCATTAATTATTGCAAAAACTGTTTCAATTGGATTTCTTGAAAATTATAATAGCTTCAAATATGAAGTACCACGGGAAAGAACGATCGTACTATTTTTAGTCGAATTTTAGATATTGGCGCCATATTCAAGCTTTTTGTGGAGTAGAACCCAAACATAATTTCTTTTGCACAATAACGCTCACCATACAGAAAATAATACATTAATAATAAGGGAAAGGATATAAACTAACCGAGAATAACGATCATTTCCTGGCGCTGACGGCTAATAACAATCCGATTCCGACGACCTAACTAAATGTAGTTACACGTACGCCGAAAGATTGCCGATGATTTTTGTTCGATATTGGACTTTTTTTGCATATTTTTGACTTTACGCCATCTAATAATTTTCCATACTATACTTCGCTTTCTCCACTACGTAGTGCTCAAAGCTTAAGGTTGATCTGCACCCCATAAAAGATAAATTCCAAATTCAAAAAATTGAGAAGGTGTATGAGATGACTAGAAGTATTTTGACAACTTTTAAGCAAACTAAAAAACTTAAAAAAAAACTCAAAAAAACTACTTTTTTCCAAGTATAAAGCGGGAAAACCAGACATATAATTTTGTTAATTTTTTTACAGCATCAAGATATAATTATAAGAAATACTTGGGAATTTTTTGAAAATTTTTGAATTTACAGTTTTGTCCCAATAGGAAAAAATAATATGTTTCTGCTTCTAATAAAGCTTCCGGTAAGAAACCAAAAAATTTTTTAATAAGAACATATATAAAACTGTGAAAGTGGAAAATATTTGCAATAAAACATTAAATATTTTTTCCTAAACATATGAAAAATTTCGTTAAACAAGAATTATGTCTTGAACCGCCGCCTTCACATGTGTATTATAGGGAGATGGCTCCATCTGAAACAGTGGTAGTATGTATCATCGATAGATAGCATTACGTTCGGCTTCGAAACGCTTCAAACGAAACGATATAGTAACAGGGTTGCCATATCAATTACTTTGTACAAACATTTGGCAGAATATAACAAAACTTAGTAGGAATGTTATCGGTTTGAATTTTGAACTGGTCATGCCGAAACTTATTTACAGAATACTAGATACTGCAACTTTTTTTTCTTGAAAGTAGGATATCATACAATTTAGACTCTATAAGTATTATATCTATAAAAAACTTATTTAGTTTTATAAACCTATTTAGGCGTTTTTAGTAAATTATTTTAGTATTTATAAACAATAGTGTTCCTTACATAACGGCCATTAAAGGTTAAATTTGCAGATAATGATAGTCCATTATTTATGTTGCGCAATAATATGAGGTTGTTAGGAACCAAATTTTCTAGAATTAAATTGAAGGATGACTTAACTAAATATCAAATAAACTATTTGAATAAAGTGCGAGAGGAACTGGAAAAACGTAATCTACTTAACAAGGAACTACGAATAAAGTATATTAATAAAGTTCCAACTATTATTAGTACTAACCAACAAAATGCCACAAAAAAAAAACAAATAGAGTTGACAACAATAAATCTTTTTTAGACTAATATTGCTTCTTTACATGCTAAGTCATCTGACTTTTTGTCATTTACATCTTCTAATTCCTATATACATATTTTTGGGATGGAGTTTCTCTGAAATCGGTACGGGAAGTTAATAATTTTAGTGTTACGGTCAACCAAACAATAAGTTGGTCTACTCAAACACCAAAAGTAGTTAGTAATGCGAACTCTGCTTTATTATTTATCACAAAAGCTTTTCATAGAATATCTCCAGACTTGTTTTTGAAATTCTACAAAAGTTATGTCAGACCTCACCTAGAATTTGCAGTGTCAGTTTGGTCACCTCATTTACAAAAAGACATTAATTTATTAGAAGGAGTACAACTAAGAGGGACTTGGCTACCTTTTAATAATGGAAGATTAGACTATGAAACCCGACTAAGAAAGCTCAAGTTGTCTTCATTAACTCTTGGATGAGAAAGATATGATGTCATATCTACTTATAGAATTCTTAGTGAGGATTTTTGGAGGGGGGTGGTAGACTAAGAGGTCATAACTATAAATTGAAAAAGAAGTATTTTGAAACCACCTTAAGGCAAAACTTTTTAGTTAACCGAGTTTTTGATAAATTAAACGGTTTAAGTGATGACATAGTAGAAGCTACTAGTTTAAATAGTTTTAAAAACAAGCTTGACGAAAACAAACAAAATATTGTACCTAGTCTTATGTTAATTATATTGGTTGTATTTTTTTTTTCTTATGAAAACTTATGTATACTTGGTAACATTTGTATTTGTGTAATTTGCTATTGCCAGAACTTTGTGTAAGTACTAATTCTTTTAAAAATTATTTTTATTTTTACTTTGTGCGAACATTTGATTTATATTATATTATTTAGTTTAGTACATACAAATATTTTGTAATTTGGGCCACATAAGCTCTGCTTTTGCTCGATATCATTATATAATAATAATAATACTCATAGAACCTTAACAGAAAGGATGCGCTAAGGACTCCATGGGTTGCAAAGAACAACTTATTATCGACTTAGTCATTTCTAACCAGGCATACACCAAAAAAAAGGAACCTCTTCACTGCGTTTATTGACTATAAGAAAGCCTTTGACTCAGTGCCGCATGAATGGCTGGTAGATATATTAAGAATATATTAAGTCTATGATACTATAGTGACCTTCTTAAGGCATATAATGACAGATTAGAAGACTAAAATTCACCTCCAAGTACCTGGTGAAAACAATATTGAAACGGAAAATATCGCAATTAACCGTGGCCTATTCCAAGGAGACTCGCTGAGTCCCTTGTGGTTCTGTCTAGCGATGAACCCACTATCCCAGCTATTGAACTCCACTGACTTAGGTTGTAGCATTAAAAACAACAACACTGTAGTGGCGAAGCTTAATCATCTGTTGTATATGGATGGTTTGAAACTAATGGCTTCCACTCGAGACCACTTAGATCAAATGTTAAAAACTGTAGAATATTTTTCAAATGATATCAGTATGCACTTTGGGTTAGACAAATGTTGTGTACTAAATATAGTCAAGGGAAAGGTTCAGCCCGGCGGATTAGATATGCAAAATGGCCAATAGATCGAGGCTATGCGCGAAAATTACATGTAGAAATATCTAGGAGTAAAGCAAGCGCCAAAAATTGACCATAAACAAATGAAAATCGAATTAACATCAGAGTTCATACGAAGGGTAAAACAGCTACTCCGCTCACATCTTAATAGTAAAAATTTGTTTAAGGCAGTAAACACCTACGCATTTTTCGCGCTTAGCTACTCATTTGGGATTATTAAATGGACTAAAACGGATATAGAAACTCTTCAGAGAAAAGTACGAACACACCTCACATAGGCAGAAAAACACCATCTTCGAAGTGCAGTAGAAAGGACGACATTACCGCGATATTTAGGAGGACGAGGACTTATTGATATAAGCGATCAATTGGATAAACAGATTACTAATTTAAAAACTTATTTTCAGGTGCAGGTGGAGACATCTACTCTTTATCGCGCGATTTGCGCAGTAGATGACACAACACCGATCAACCTGAGCGAACAAGAAATGCGCATAAACCATCTTACTAAGAACGAAAAAATGCGCATCTGGATTGTAAAGCTCTACACGGGCGACATCCGAATGAAGTCAGTCAAGACTATGTCGACAATATAGCGTCGAACTATTGGCTGACATCAGGAAATATGTTCCCTGAAACAGAAGGTTCATTACTCGCCATTCAGGATCAGGTTATGCCAACCAAAAATTATCTGAAATATATCGTCAAAGACCCTCAGGTCCAAAACGACAAATGCCGATATGGATGTCAAGCCCAAGAAACTATACAACATCTTACCGGAGGCTACCAGGCATTTGCTTCAACTGAATATAAGGAACGGCATGACTCAGTAGAGAAGATCCTCCATCAAGAGATAGCTTTTAAACTGGGACTTCTACAAACAAACCATCTCCCATATTATCAATACGTTCCTGAGAGTATGCTTGAGAATGACAACTACAAGCTATACTGGGATCGCACTGTGCTCGCACACCAAACTGTAGCACATAATAGACCAGATCTCGTGCTAGTTAATAAACTAACAAGACAAATAACTCTAATCGATGTGGCGATACCTAACAACAATAATCTGCGTGTTAAGTACAACGAAAAGATCTCCAAGTACAGAGATCTGGAAATACAAATAAGAAGACAATGGAGAATGGAAAGTACCCAGATGATACCTATTATTCTTTCTACCACTGGAGTCATTCTGAAGAACCTCCTAGAAAACATAAAAAAAGCTGGGTCTAAATGAACATCTATATAAGGTCATGCAGAAAGCTGTGCTACTTTCCTTAAAACTTAATTCCAAGCACATAGTAAAAGCAATAAACACATACGCAATAACACCTTTCACATAGTCCTCATTTGGCGTTATAAAATTGTCGAATACGGAAACTGAAGAACTAAATAGACGAAAACAGAACCGTAATAACTAAATATGCATCAACCACTCCAAATCATACATCCAACGTATGACCACCACGCACACAAGGCGGGAGAAGAACGGGGTGTTTTGGAAATATCACCCACTACTTAAGCAGACCGCAATTAGACCGATGATAGCATAAGGAGCAGAAGTAATGTGTCTTACGAAAAAAGATGAAGAAAAAGTAAGAATTATTAAAAGAAAAATTATAAGAATAAACGGACCAATAAAGCCAGAACAATGAAGCATGAAATAAGAAATATAAATATAACCGAAGAAGAAGACATAGTAAAATTTATTAATCCATAAAGACATAATAGTAATATATGTATAATATTAAACAGATTTAAATAACATTTTTGTCATTTCCCACTAAAATGTTACATAATCATAATACCAGATCATTTTTTAATTTTTAACTAGGCTTACTTTTGTTACCAGATAATTTTTGTTATTTTTAATGTGTCGTCATTATAACTACGAAAAACATGTTTCAGTTCACTACATACATCCAAAGTAACTTTTTTTAAAGACCTCTCAAAAATAAAGTATTACTTCAAGTTCTATTAAAATGGGCATTCGTATATATTATTATCCATAGAAACATTTACTCTGCTGTTATAATATTGATATATTAATTCTCTGCTGTTATTAATATTAATTCTTTTTATTTATAATACTAGAATTGCATCAAATGAAAAATTTAAATTTAATTTTAAAGTTGAACTTGCTGTCATTAATTTTGTCAATTTGGCATTTTGACAACTTGTCTCAGGCTTACGTCACAAAAACATGTGCGTTGACTTATCTTGTTTTGTTATAGTATTATGGGAATGACCTTGGTTCATTCCACCATCACTTTAACCCATCGAGCAAAAAGACAAAAGATGGAATGTAAAGGTAGTGGGAACAAAAATATTGTTAGACAGAAAGCGCCATCTTGAGAGGCCACATTAAACAAGGAAAGAGAGTCTTTCCTTGTTTAAGAAATCAAATTTAGTAAGGTTATGTTATTGTTTGTCCCAACTGTCACATGAAATCTTATTTATATTGTAGTTTTTAACAATTGTGTCACGTTTTTGACTGTTATCGATAATATTTATTTAAAGTTTCTCGTCTAAGACACATTCGGAAATCTATTTAATAGCTACTGTTAATATGTTTCGAAAAATTTAAATTTGGCGCATTTGCATTTCCGGATATGTCCGCCATCAGAGGCCACTTTTTGGTCTCATTTTCATAACGATTGGATTCCCTCTTTTGTCTTTTTGCTCGATGCTTTAACCCATCGAGCAAAAATACAAAAGAGGGAATCTAATCGTTATGAAAAGGAGACCAAAAAAGTGGCCTCTGATGGCGGACATATCCGGAAATGCGAATGCGCCAAATTTAAATTTTCCGATACTTATTAACAGTAGCTATATAATATTTTTCAGAATGTGTCTTAGACGAGAAAGTTTTAATTAATTATTAACGGTAATAGTCTAAAATGCGACACAATTGTTAAAAAACTTCAAAATAAATAAGATTTCATGTGACATTTGGGACAAACAATAACATAACCCAAGTAAATTTGATGTCAAACAAGGAGAGAGACTCTCTTTCCTTGTTTAATGTGGCCTCTAAAGATCGCACTTTCTGTTTAACAATATTTTTGCCCCCACTACCTTTACATTCCCTCTTTTGTCTTTTTGCTCGATGCTTTAACCCATCGAGCAAAAAGATAAAAGAGGGAATGTAAAGGTAGTAGGGGCAAAAATATTGTTAGACAGGAAGTGTGATCTTTAGAGGCCACATTAAATAAGTTACAGTTGACATCAAATTTAGTTGGGTAATGTTAATGTTTTTCCCAAATGTCACATGAAATTTTATTTATATTGAAGTTTTTTAACAATTGTGTCGCATTTTAGACTATTATCGTTAATAATTAATTAAAACTTTTTCGTCTAAGACACATTCTGAAAAATATTATATAGCTACTGTTAATAAGTGGCAGAAAATTTAAATTTGGCGCATTCGCATTTCCGGATATGTCCGCCATCAGAGGCCACTTTTTTGGTCTCCTTTTCATAAGGATTAGATTCCCTCTTTTGTCTTTTTGCTCGATGCTTTAATCCCAGCGAGTTAATAAAGAGATATGACAGCCTATCTCTCTCATGAAGACTTTAACCAATCATTTATTTTAACACAGTCTCGGGGTGTCAATAAAATAATCAAACGAAGCTTAATTCCGCAATGTCAATTCTGTCAAAAGTAATGACAGATCTTCCATTTGTTTGCAAGTTTTCAATTTTATTTTATTATCTTTAACTTTCGTTTGCATTTATTCTTAGTTATTTTAATTTTTACTTAGTTTTTAAAGTTTAGTTTGAGTTATCTATTGTAGCAAAGAATTTTTGTGTTGTGCTAGTAAAAAAACTAAACATGGTAATTATTGTATACATACACGGTTCGCTATTCCCAGTCCGAACTGTTTAGTGAATTTAGTAATAATTTTTTGAGAAGTTAGTTACTATTTGACAGACTAAAGTTTCTGGAAATTACTATACAACCAAGCATACGTACTCATAGTCAATATTAATAGTAAACAAACTAAATAGTAAATAAAATAGAACTTTGCCAGTTACCGACAATTAATATTTAGCTTCCAAAACATATTCGTATAAAATTTCATTACAATGTTTCCAGTAGTTCGGCAAAATCATAAAAACTGCGTAAATTTTTTTTCTTCAACGCCCTGGATCTTTAAAACGGATGGCGTTACAAAAATTTTTTACTGAGCAAACATAAATTATTTTTCAGTTTTTTACCTACATGGGATTTTACATTTGAACATTACCTACAATGTTCATTGTACACAAAAAGTGCTTTTAAACATTTTTGTTTAGAATTACCCCAGCTAAATTTTTTATTTGAAATATTTTTTTCTACGGCGTACAGATTCTTGGTTATAAATCGATTTTTTTGCGTTTTTACCACTTTACTAGGGGAAGCCCGAGGATAAAAATGGTAAACTTTTTTGGGGTCCCAAAATTAATATTCTCGGCAAAATTCAGCTTGTTCGTATGATTTTTAGAGATCTACTCACTGACTACTGGACTAATATAATTTCCACTTTGTTCAATTGATTTTGATATTTATAGCACCAGTTTTGAGCATCGAATAAACAATTGATTCTAATAACAATTACGTTTTAAACTTGTTTTGACGTTTTAATTTCTAGTCCGAAAATTGTTTTCAAAAAGCTTTATTATAAAATAAGCAATTAATACTCTTTTTTGATAACGATTTCGAGATTGGATCAAAGAAAACTTACATGATATATGATAGCTGCCCAAAACCTTACATCGGTCAAACTAGTAGAACCTTTAACAAATGGATAGCATAACATAAAAGGGCTTTCAATAATAGAAAACCCGATTGTATGTACGCACCCCACCTTCTAGATCATAATCATTCTTTTAATGACCAATTTCAAATTCATATTCAAAATAAATGCCTTAAGCTCTCTTTATTAGCTATCTTAGTTGATCAACTTGAGACAAACAGCTCTCCCCTTCTCAACTTATTCAGTTAAAGACTCTAAACTGTCGAGGCATCACTTGAAAACCAAAAAAGCTAACTAAAAGTATTTAAATAAACTGTAATAAATTTTTTTGAACTGTAAAAAGAAAGGTTTTCGGTGTTTTATTTTTAGGTAAATCTTAATAACTTCTCTTATTGTACCATATTAATGCGATTCACCAAATATAATTTGCAGATATATCAAAGACGATCATTTAATATCATATCTGCAAATTATGGAGAACGATTCACAGTGGATAATTTGTTTTTAATGTGTACCAGTCGGTCACTAATTTCTTTTGTTTTTCTTAGAATTTTAGTAGTAATGAAATTTTGGATTAGGCATATTAAATAGACAGATAACTTAAAACATATTTTATTTAAAATTCTTGTGAAATCTATAAAATATTTAATTTTTGCCTCGACAAACAGGTTCACTTTCTTTCAATACGCTCTCTTCAACTCTAGCGAAAGATCTTAGAGTTATGGGATTTTTGCATGAGCTTTTGTGGACGTCGTTAGCACACGTTTTCAATTTGGGCAAAAATCTGTAATAAATTTGTTTTTATGAATCAAATACTGTTCTAAAAAATCCCTATGGAATAGAAATTTTAACATCTATGAAGTTAGTCTGTAAAAGAGACACAAAGAAGCCAGCAACAATCTTATACATAGTATCTTCCAAACGGGAAAAACTGCAAATATCATTGTTTAATCAGAAATTAAAGCCTAATTTGTAATCTCACATCAATCTGAAGGTACTATAGAAGTGAGCAATATTTTTACTTTTTGACCACCAGGCGGTTATCCGCGTATTTTTACCAATTTTAGTAAATCATTCTAACTTAAAAAAACTAGTCTATAGCTATTTTTTAGACCTCTAGGTGCTTCTAGGCCTAAGATATACCCCTCGAAATAGTCAAAAATAGTCCTTTTAATCCTATATTTGAAGACCTATATCTCTGAACCCAGTAACCGATTTTAAATCACAATATCTCATTTTTTATATTATCAAATATAACCTAAAAAGCTTAAAAGAATATTCAACGAAATTTCTTTACAAATTACGACTGGCCACAAAATTACAAAATATATCTTCTCTTCTTTCGGTGTCGTCTTCAATGAAGGTTGGCGATAACCTCAGCAAAATCATTTCTGTCCCTGGCTTTTCTTATTAAAGATTGAGAATCCAAACCAGTCCACTCACGAATGTTCTTCAACCAAGACGCCTGCCGTCTACCAGGACCACGTTTTCCTTCTACCTTCCCCTCTATAAGAAGCTGCAGTAGCTGGTATTTCTCATTTCTGTATATGTGTCCCAAATATGAGGTTTTCCGTGTTTTCATTATTTTTAAGAGTTCTCTGTCGGTACCCATCTTGTGTAGGACCTGCTCGTTGCTCATATGCGCTGTCCAGGGGACTTTCAGCATCCTTCGAAATAACCACATTTCAAAACTTTCCAAACGCCTTAGTGAGTTGATTTTGAAGGTCCAGGCCTCCATTCCATATAGTAAGGTGCTGTAAACGTAACATTTCAGCATTCGGTATCGGATTTTGAGATTGAGTGTTTGGGACGTAAACATTTGTTTCATTTTTAAAAAGACATTTCTTGCTTGTTCAATTCGCGATTTTATTTCTATGTCTGGATCTATATCTTTCGTTATCCAGCACCCTAGATATCGAAATTTCTCGACATTTTCGATAATGTTACCATTCACGTTTAAAGCCATGGGTGGATGGATGGATGTTTTGGAGACAATCATTGTTTTTGTTTTCTTGACGTAAAATCGTTCTCGTCTAGTCCCTTTTTGTGAAGGCAATCCATCAACTTATCATGTTTTACTTTGTCGAAGGCCTTTTGATAGTCAATAAAACATAAAAAGAGATCCTTTTTTTGGTCTCGACATTTTTGCAGCAGTATAATAAAACTGGTTAATGCTTCCCGTGTCTCAAATCCATTTCGGAAGCCAAATTGTTCATCACTGATATCCTGTTCACATTTCTTATAAATGCGTTGGTGAATAACTTTCAAGAATAACTTTAACATATGCGACATTAAACTAATAAGTCTGAAATCACCACACTTCTTTGCTCCCTTAGTTTTTGGAAGGGGAGTAAAGACTGATTTTAACCAGTCTTGTGGAATTTCACCGCTTGTATATATTTGATTAAATAATTTGACGATTATATTTAAATGTTTCTCTTCCAGTAGCTTCATGACTTCCGTATGTATGTCATCGGGGCCAGGGGCTTTCCCATTTTTTCCCATTTTCCCCTGAAAATATATCAGCGAAAGAATTATACCAGCAACTTAAAAAATCCATTCATGAGGCTGCAAGTGAAGCTTTGGGGTATAAAGGCAAACATGAAACAAAAAATCAAGAATGGTGATCGGAGAATATGCAAACGTTAGTAATCAAGAAAAAAACTGCTTATCAGAAATGGATGTCAACGAGAAAGGAGGAAGATTACAAGATATATTAAAAATTAAATCGAGATGTAAAAAAAAGTAGTGAAAGGTAAAAATGAGATGTGGGATCGAAGATGTGCAGAGGTGGATAGGCATAAGGGTGGAACAAGAGTTGGGCAAGCGTTTAAGGTGATAAAGACTCTCCGTAGAGAAGGAAAGGAAAAATCTAACTTACAGTTAATATATCTGAAACAGTGGAAACACCATTATGAGGTCTTACTAACAGAGGATAGATGAAAATTCCAAGAGATCAAAAGGGGAGAAATATCCGATCATACACAAATAATTGAGATAACAACCGGAGAGTTAAGCAATGCCCTCAAAAGATCAAAAAACGGTAAAGCAGTAGAACCTGAAGACATTCCAATTAAGTTTGTAAAGTATGGATCAAAAATATTACATGAGATGTTGGTTCAACTATTTAACAAATGCTTAAAAGGACAAAATATCCCTAATGATTTGGATGTTGGATACATCAGGTGAATATTCAAAAAGGGGACAAACGCAAATGCTCTAATTATAGGCGAATAACTGTTATCAGCTTAGTGTGTAGGTTGTACAGTCGAATAGTAAAAAAAGAAAGAATAGAATCAGAATACGAAGGCATAGAAGAACAAAATGGATTTCGTGCAGAAAGATCGTCCACCGATAGTAAATTCGTTCTGCAGCAGGTAATCGAAAAACGGAAGGCAAGGAATCCATCTACCCACCTAATGTTTGTAGATTTAGGGAAAGCATACGATACGGTACATTTGAGAAAACAAACATTGACGAACGCAGGTATCAGTAAAGAGTATGTGGATGCCATCGCAAATATATACAAAAATGCAAGAAGCGTCGTTAAAGAAGGAAAGTTTATATCTGAATCATTTCCAATAAAAAAGAGACTTAAACAAGGATGTTGTCTATCTCCGACCTTATTTAAAATATACTTTCAATCATCGCTAGAGCAGTGGAGGAAACAAGTATCCAGAATGGGAATAGACATAGGCGGTGGTAAATTTCTAACAACTTTATTTTTCGCAGATGATCAGGTAGTCGTAGCGAATGATGAGGAAGACATGGACTACATGTTTAGAAAACTAAAGAAGAAATATAAAATATGGGGCCTCAATATGAATATGTCAAAAACAGAGTATTTAAAATAGGAGATGATGAATAAGATATAGAGTTAGAAATTAGAAACACAAAAACATGAAATGAATATAAATATTTCGGAACTATAATATCTAAAGAAGGCACTACCAAAAGAGACATCGAACGCAGCAGGGAAAAACGCGGTAAACATTCTCTCTACTATGGTTTAAAATATTAGACAAGAAACAAAATTGACAATCTATCGAATCTTGGTAGAGCCTATTATGACTTATGAGGCAGAAGTTTGGCAGATCACGAAAAATTAGAAATAGTAGAAATGGATTTTCTAAGGAGAGCGTGTATTATATCCAAAAAGGAAAATAGAAACGAGACAACTAGTGTGGTATGGTCACTTGAAGCGAATGAATGAAGATAGATGGTCAAAGAAAGCTTTAAATTACACACAACATTAAAGAAGCTATCCAAGAAGACGAATGGATGGACAGAAAACGATGACAGTCGAAAGGCCAGAAGCGGTAGAGGCTGTAGGAACCTCTAGCCTCTGCTGCTTGGCTAGGATATATATATATATATATATATATATATATATATATATATATATATACATATATATATAAATATATATATATATATTTATATATATATATATATATATATATATATATATTTATATATGTCACCTAGAGCTAAGATTAATACTATTACAAAAATTAATATTAAACTCACCAGTCTTCCGGGTCGAACCGCGTCGATATCCATTGGACCGAGCTTTCGACATGAGGATATCGAAATTCTCATAGCTTTTGACATCCTCATGTCGAAAGCTCGGCCCAATGGATATTGACGCTGTTCAACTCGGAAGACTGTTTTGTAATTACTTATTTTACAATTCGAAAATACTTACGAGCAAATAACTTGTGTAGATGGCAAGTTTTCCCCGAACTCTTCTACGGCAGCTCTGACTTCATTACACGAACTAACATCTGCCCAGTTCATTTCAGCCTGACATGGAGCAAATAGTTCTTAAAAAATAAATACAATGTTACTATATAATATTTAAAATTGTAATATATACTGTTATGATATGTAAAATCAAGAAAATATCGGTTTGTTTAAAAATATTTCAAAGTTCAAATAATTAAAATAATTCAGATAAGTCGAATTAATAAACGACAAACATTTCGAAGAATGAAAGTCCTTTTATCTTTGGATTACCTATATTGAACAAAACGTAAGCTATGCATAAATTATTTTCTTTGTTAAAATATATTTGAATGACGTGAGCGAACTTAAGACAATTGAACCGGGTTTTCCAAATACATTAGTGCAGTGATTAGGACAATAGAATAGATTTTAAAAAGATATGTTTTTGTTAGTTTTTAAGAATTGGTAGGAAAATAATATTTTGTAAACAAGTTATAGGAAATTTTATAATTGTAGGTAAAAATTTGTGTGTTATCGAAATGAAGAAATGGGAGAGGTATGACGCGTTTTGATTCGATGAGATTGGAAAAGGTGGGAGGTTTGGTTTGAGAATGAGACTTTAGTTAGTTTTTGAAGAAAAAAAGATAGTCAGTTGGTTTCCAAGGGTGCAAGGCGAACGGCCGTTGTTCTCGGGTAGTTTCCCAGAGGTAGGAAGCAGTAGCAGTGAAAGTTTGTGAGGTTTCGTGTAGTTAGTGTATCTGACAGAAGCTGATTCAGTAAAAGATTGTATGTTATATTTTCTACTTATATTCCAAGAGTCACTGTTCAGGCCAACGAGAGATTCAGTTTATTGAGAGAATAAGAAGCTAGCATAATTTGAACGATTCGTGCATTTGAAGGAGATCATTAAGGACGATAAACTTGCAATAATTCGTTGTAAGATTGCTGATTACCTAGGGAGCGGCTGAGAGTAGATAATATAGTCTACAAGGAACAAGGATTTGGACCACTCATCATCAGAGAGAGATAGTTTTGTTTTCTGTAGTTTTTCTTTTATTGATAACACAATTTTTACACTTAATTTAGAAAGGATAAAAATAATTTGATTAGGAGATTTAGAATAATATTTGGGATTTTGAGATTTCAACTAATATTGTTTGTACCATTAATTTTAAAGGTTCACGTACGTAGAACAAAATTTTGAGAATCATTATATGAGATTTTGTTTATTGAAAATTTTTGAGTGTGAATTTTATTTCATTATTTTATTTCAATATTTATTTCAATTTCAATAATGTTAGATCCTATATGTTTCTTATTATTCCGGTATTCTTTGGACCTTACCTTTCACATGTAATAGCATAGATATTGAAGCACGAATAGAACCCTGAGATAAGAGAATTATAAAGTGTGATAGAATCACAGTTATATCATTTAAATAATTTTAATTAATTAATTAATTAATTAATTAGCTAATTAATTGCTTGGCGCACTAAGACTTTAAATATCACAATAATACATATATATATATATATATATATATATATATATATATATTATATATATATATATATATATATTGGAATAATAAAATGTTAAAAGTTTTTTTTAATTAAAAACATATTTAATTGAGCCATGTGACATATTTATTATTTGGGATGTTTAATTTAAATATAATGACGGATTTAAAATAGTAGTATATTAGTGTAAGATATTTAGTTTATATAATAATACTGAATTCTGATCTGAAAGCCTGCCCATAAAATTCTCACTAGAATTTTCTGGAAAACGTCAATACACAAGCCAGTTAGCCCTATTTGCATAGTCGATGATTCCAGAACTTTCATCTGTGGATAAGATGAAAAGTTTCGAACATGGTTTATTGCTAGAAAAGTCTGGAACCATAAAATAATATAAATATCAGGTAATTTGGAGCAGGCAGTTAGTTAGTTAGAAGAATTCAAGAATTAAGTTACATTAAGTCAGTCAGAAATTAAGTTACAGTTACTAAGTCAGTTACAGCTAGTCAATTATTAAGATAGTAGAAGGCATTAATTAAGTAAGAAGAAGTCAGTCAGTCAGTTTCAATTGATTAAGTGAGAAGAATTCATGAAGTGATTAAGTTAAATTAAGTAAGAAAAAAGGATTAAGTGAGATGAAGTCAGTCAGTCAGTTACAATTAAGTTATTAAATTAGATTTATCAAAAAAGTTAGTTCAAGACAGTTATAATTAATTTAAATTAGAAGAAAGGATTAACTTAGAACAATTCATTAAGTCAGATACAGTTGGAGAGTATGAGAGTAAATTAATTCAATAGTTCAATACAGGAGTATAGTATATTATATGGAAATTACAAGAATTTTAAATTATAATATCTATATACAATTTCACAAATACAAGGATAACCGAGGCTGATTAAGAAGATATTTAGTGGTGATTATAACTTTGATTTTGGAAAACTTTAGGCATTCAGTGATAGAAAGGTACCAAATTTTGTTAATATAATTTAATAATGGTAAGAATTTCTAATTTAAGATAGGTTGTTTTAAATTTATATTTTTTGTATTAGATATATATGTCTGTTTCATAATAGTTATAATAAAGATAATTTAAAAAAGTACTTACAAACTAATTCTTTGAGAACCACGATAAAAACCCTATACTCATATATTTTATTTTAAACACTCATTGCTCATATACAAAACAAAACATCATAACAATATATATATATATATATATATATATATATATATATATATATATATATAATATCTATAAATAATATGAAAATCGGAAGAACAGGTCAATTGTGTTTTGATATGAATATTTTTAGTGCCCAACATTTTATTGCCAATAGCCCAGTCAAATAAAATTTTAATACACGTTAAGCTTTTTTTACTACACAGAAAAAGAATATCGGGGAAGGTCACTGGGAATGAAATATTACATCACGATAACATCGAGGAAAGCTGGGAAAAACTCAAAAATAACATAATTAACGCAGCAAAAGAATCACTTGGAGAGAGGAAAGTAACAAACACTAACATATTAAAAAAGAAAACACCATGGTTTAGAGAGGAAGTAAAGACAAATTGTGAAGAAAAGGAGAAAGCCTTTTTACAATACAGAACACAAAAAACAACAGGCATATAACCACTAAAAACGAATCAAAAATAAAACGAATACTTTAGTTAATCAAATTAAAAAGGCACAGGCAGAGCTTCTCAAAATAAATGGAATACGACTTCAACTAAACACAAAAAGAAATATGGAGAATTATTAGAGGACAGAGAAAAGAGATGAACGAACTAATAAAAACGAAACACATTTAGAAGGAAACATGGGTAGACTAATTTCGATCCTTATTTGCTAAAGATGACGATAATGAACCACCTACACCAGAGGTGCCGACAAACGAAGAAATAAATATTGAGGAGGAAGAGGTAAAGGAAGCATTAAGAAAATTGAAGAATAGAAAATCACCAGAAGAGGACAGAATATCGAACGAACTCCCAAAATACGGAGAAGCAGATCTGACAAAAGAACTAATCCAAAAACTAATAGAACAAAACAGAATTCCTCAAGAATGGAGATCAAGTATCCTAATACCTCTCTTCAAAAACGGAAACCAATCGGACCCAGAAAATTACAGAGGAATTAATTTATTAAAGACAACAGTAAAATTAACCACCAAAGTGATAACAAATAAACTGAATGAAATTATAACATTAGCAGAAGAACAACAAGGTTTAGGCCCGGAAGATCATGCATCGACGCTATATTTATAATGAGGCAAGTACAAGAGAAGTCATTAGAATACAACAAACCGGCATTAATTTATCCACTTATTGTACGCAAGGGAGGTACCTCTAGGAATAAAAAAAACGGTCGAAAATATTTACCAAAACAACAAAATAAAAGTAAAAATGGAATAAGACAGGAAGATTAGCTGAGTCCTCTCTTGTTCAACCTGATTATGGATGCAATTATAAAAAAAAGTAAGAACTAAAAGAGGATACCAAATAGGAGAAAAACAACTTAAAATAATCTGCTATGCAGACGACGCAATACTGCTCTCTCAAAGTGAAGACGATTTACAACGTATGCTGCACCAATTTAATATAACCGCCAGAAAATTTAACATGTTAATTTCCCCAAACAAGAAAAAAGGAATGATTACAACAGCAAATTTACTAAGATGTAAATTGGAGCTGGAAGGTTAGATAATAGAACAAAAGTGATGGAGTTTAAAATCTAGGCATCACATTATATAGCTACGGAAAGCTCGAAACTGAAGTAAATAATCAAGTAAACAGTGCAAACAGAGCCGCATGCTACCTAAATCAAACAATATGGAGAAATAAAAATATCGGGAAAGAAAAGAAAGGCAGAATTTACAAAACAAAAAATCAGACCAATAATGACATACGCAGCAGAAACACGACCTGACACAGAGGGAACAAAAATAATGTTAGAAACAGCAGAGATGAAAACACTTCGAAAAATTAATGGCAAGACACTATGGGACAGAGCTAGAAGTACAAATACACGACGTAGATACAACGTGGAGAACATTAAAAACTGGGTAAGAAATAGAAGAGAAGAATGGAACGATCATATAAGCCGAATGACAACAAATAGAGTGGTTAAAACTGCAAGAGACGGTTCCCCAATAGGAAGACGATCAGTAGGAAGATTTCGAAAACAGTGGAACGACAACTTACTAAAGGCACATTGAAAAACAGACAGAGTCATATCTACATAAAAAAAAAGAAAAAGAAGTAAATAGTTTTTTATTAAGTTTCAAATTGGGATCTTTTCCAAATCAAAGGTGAAAAGAAATGATATTTTCATTTAGTATCGGTATCGGAAAGTATCGGTTTAATTTTACGAGATTATTGTTTAACCACCGACTAAAACGTTAAGATTACCAAAAAATTAGTTTCTTTAGATCCCTCAAAAAAGTCGTAAACTTAGGAGTAATTTTTTTTTCTTTAAAGTTACAAAAAAAAACGACTTTTTTTAGGCTTATTTAATTACAATAATTAACAATTAAAACTATTAAAATTATACCTGCCATTACAATAAACACAATATTAAGATACATACAAAATTTTGTGAAAAAATATTGAGGTCTTGTATTGATAGACCAGGGGGGATTTATTTTGAGGTGGATGTGAGAGGTGGCATTCTGATTTCTGCAGGAAAAGTTATGTGATAACTTTAGTATTAATTATTGACTTATCTTTCCTCGCAAATAGGTCGGGAATACTCATAAAAAATTAAATATTTACAAATAACTAAAAATTAGTTTTTTTCTACCATCAAGGTAAAAGGGAAAATCTATTTCCCCTCCTACCAAATAGCAATAAATACGAAAAAAAAAGGAACCGGGAAAGAAGCCTTTTCTTATTCAATGTTTTTCAACCATTTATATTGCACTTAGGATCGTCTTTGGCTGATCAGTAAAAATCACTAAAATTGATTTAATATATTTCGAATAATAATTTTGCATTCTAAATTTAACAAATTGAAATTCTTTAAAATTTTTCACAACAAAACTACACCATACAGTTTTCCAATTTTTTTACGTATAAAAAGGCACTCTGCCTAATGTACTTTATAGAATTGAAATCGGATTATTTGGGTGACCTAAGGAATGTCTCACTTTGTTTATCCTCGTTATAGGTCGTTCTTAGCATTTATTGATGCAATATTTTTCTAATAATTGAAGCGTTTGGTTCAAAAACCGGTAAAAGGCCATTTTGGTCGAAATTGAGTTTCTTGCCTTCAAAAATACCTCCGCACAGTTTTTAGCAAAACCCGTACACGTATTGTACGAACAATGTTAATAACATAGTCCTTAGGATCGATGGTATTGAGAGCAATAACCAGCCATCTGATTCACATGAGCAGTTTTTGCGACTAAGGCTGAGGAAGTTCTAACCTTACATTTTCCTTGTTTGTAAAGTGCTGTATGTCGCTCCGCGAAAATGGTCAGTTTCAATGAATTTTCTGGGGAAAGTGATCCATACCATGATTGCAATAATAGTGATGCTGAACTACATTATATAGTGGAAGAAGAAAGTGTGCAACAAAAGAAGCAAAAAGTATGATTTAGACAACGATAACAAAGAATTAATTACTATTTAACTGGGAATAAGCCACAATTAAAGATAAAAATACGTTTACTGACGTTTCAATTTCCACTTCGGAAATCGTTCTCAAAATACAAACAGTAAATTAAACAAATTTTGTTTTTTGTTACATATTGAAAAAAATCTTCTAATAATTTAATTTTATCTGACTCATTTATATTGACAATTCAGACATACATTATGCATTTTAAAGTAGACGACTTTAAAATTATATTGCCAATATTTTTGAGTTGCGCTCCTGGGACGACTTTACTTATAAGATAGTTCATTCGATTACATGAAATCAACTTTAACTTGAGAATACTTACATAGCATGTAATTCGTCTTTAAAAAGACAAACACATGACATCATGACAGTAAAATTCTCCTGTTAGTGATTCCATAGTAAATTATGAGGGAAAACCAGGAAAAAAACTTCATAATACTATCCCGACATTGTAAGTATTTGTTCGTGAATTTAGTTTACTTTCAACAAACATCAAAATTCTGATTTTATATGTTACGTTATTTAAAAAAACATAAATGATGTATCCTCTATATGTTACTGACTTACTAATACTGGTATTTTCTTATTAATAACTTCCTCTTTCAATATTGGTAACTAGATCCTACTACATTCTGCCGAGGAATTTGCGACACAATTGGCCTCATTTAGCATAATTAGAGCCGCTTCTTTGATTTTTCTTTTTTTACCATCCGTTTCTTTTAGGACTACATTTGAATTATTCCATTGAACCCTATGTTCATTATCCCATGCGTGTTTACATATTTGAGATCTATCAAATTCTCTATTTTTAATATAAGATTGATGTTTACTTATTACTATTTACTAACATTTAATGGCCTTGATGATTCACCTAAATAAAACTTATTTAGGTTGTGTCGCAAATTCCTCTGCAGAATGTTGTAGGATCTGGTTACCAATATTGAAAGAGGAAGTTATTAATAAGAAAATACCAGTATTAGTAAGTCAGTAACATATAGAGGATACATCATTTATGTTTTTTAAATAACGTAGCATATAAAATCAGAATTTTGATATTTGTTGAAAGTAAACTAAATTTACGAACAAATACTTACAATGTCGGGATAGTATTATGAGGTTTTTTTCCTGGTTTTCCCTCATAATTTACTATGGAATCACTAACAGGAGAATTTTACTGTCATGATGTCATGTGTTTGTCTTTTTAAAGACGAATTACATGCTATGATTTTTTTCTGACGGATATTCTCAAGTTAAAGTTGATTTCATGTAATCGAATGATTTATCTTATAAGTAAAGTCGTCCCAGGAGCGCAACTCCACAATATTGGCAATATCATTTTAAAGTCGTCTACTTTAAAATGCATAATGTATGTCTGAATTGTCAATATAAATGAGTCAGATAAAATTAAATTATTAGAAGAATTTTTCACTATGTAACAAAAACCAAATTTGTTTAATTTACTGTTTGTATTTTGAGAACGATTTCCGAAGTGGAAATTGAAACGTCAATAAACGTATTTTTATCTTTAATTGTGGCTTATTCCCAGTTAAATAGTAATTAATTTACAATGCCCCAAGAAAATAGCTTCAGAACAATGATAACAAAGAAGGGATATTATAAGTTTTAAAAATATAAAATAATGCTCACATAAAAATGTAATTGCAAATAAGATGAACAAAGCTAGTGTTTCAGGTTTAAATCGGGGATGTATTCCAAAGCATGCAAACGAATCAAATGATAACTCAAGCAGCACAACTGATGATGGTGAGTTATTTAGTTTAGTTTTATATCTATGCACCACATTTATATAATGTTTTATTGTAGATGAAACTGCAGAGATGCGCTTAGAAGAAAATACTAAGAAACGCAAGTGCACTCCCCAAGCTTGGAAAATAGTCCAGTTACTGAGGGTTTTTACCTCCGAATTCTTTATAACTGAATCGATTCATTTGAAATTTTTGTTACGCTATTCGATAGAAGGACAAATTTCAAACAAAAAATATAGTAAACATTTTTTTTACTAAATCAACACTTTTTTTGTTATTCGCTGTTAAAAAGTGTCATTTTTCGTTAAAAAAAAACATGTTTTCAAAGGTTTTATTAGGAGAAACAAAACCAAAGTGAACATATACATATACTTTTAGAAAATATGAGCTTTTGATTACATTACAAATGTAAACTAAAAAAATTCACATAATTTCCACTATGACTAAAAAATGACATGTTTTTCTCATTTTTCTCAGATCTATGCAATATGCACGTTTATTTCAGTCCCCTCAAAAAGTCTTCCCCGATAAAAGGTAAACCTTGAAACATGTGTAGGAAAACGGTGAGACTCGAATTGAATCAAAATGCAAACGTCTATTTGTATTTATTTTATCAAATTATCAAATAACTTTTTATCTCTTGCAACATTCCATAATATGTTTATCTATCATCTATTCTTTGTTTCAAGTTAAGAAAATAACATTACGCTTATGGAGATCAGTGTTGCCAAAACTCTCAGACACTCTCTTTTGCACGGATGTCCAAGATATTCCCTTTGCTTAATTTTTGAATTTTCATTTTCAATTAACATTTAACTGTAAAGTCAGAATAACTACTAAATAAAAGCCTTAGTATCATTATGTAGTCAGAGAACGACATAAAATAGCTGACATACGCACATCGTATTATTTTAAGTTGCAATTAGTAATTAGATATATACGCATTCCAAGCGGTCAATATTTTCTACTGATTTCTATGATTCATGGCATATCGTATTCTCACCGAAAAACAAATAAACTGTCGTTACTATAATTAAAATAAAATAAAATAAAATTATCTTTTGTAAATACTATTTATCTAATTAAAATCATTTTCCCTACTTTTCATCTCTTGTTTCGAATGGGCACTTGTGGTCAATTACGTTAAAAAACATTAATTTAATTCATGTTTTTGGAAATGAAAATACAAATTATACAACCCTAAATTGTGCTTGTGTGTGTCGTGGCAACAACGCCGCGTTGCTATCGTCCATAAGAAATACATGGCCCTATCTCCGCAATGTTATTTTCTAAACGTGGAACGTAGTATAGTATAACTAATATCTGTACTTTACTCACCCAAAAATTCTTCTACAGTAAAAGTACAGACTTGTTTTAACCCGCCAACGATTATCCTCTCAGCCAATAAAGGTAATTCTTTGGATTCTTTGGGCAAACATTTTCCAACAAGATCGATTAAAGGTCCGTAACATTTTTCGATAGTTTTCTGAATTGTTGAACATACAGTGCCTGATCCTACTGTAGTATTTTTCACACATTCGTATACGTCCTTCAAGAGTTGCTACAATATAAAAAAAATTATCTATTTAGCGCACGGTACAAAATAAGGAAAATGTTATAAATTACCAGCTTTACATGAAAATAAAAATATATTGTTTCGTTTTTCTGTATGTTCAAAAATTAAGTGAAGCACGACGTGGTTTAACTAACTTTATTTAAATCAAAAACTAACTTAACTAGAAATATTGCAAACTAATTACATTTTTAATTATCGCTTAAAATGCTCTGCTGGATTATATATCGAGAACTAAATGTTCTCGAAAACAGCTTACCGGGCGACGAAAACTGCGTAGATTCTTTAAGGTTATCTCCGCATCGATAGAAACGATTTGTGGAATATGTCGGCGTGTGAAGAGAGAATTCTGGATTTGAATATTGCACAGAATCGAATTAGAGGTATATGACTGAATAATATTTATTAAACCTCGATGTTGAGACTTAATATCCAGTTTATTGTATCAGGTATTGCTTTAAGGCAAGTATATTAATTGCCTTACTCCATATTCCTGAATATGTTTTGAGACTGAATTCATAAGTAATGTGTTGTATGGTGTGTCACAATGTTGTTTAATTGTCACAATCACAATCTGGAAACTAAATGGAGTACTGTATAAAAGTGTGGTTTTGTGCTTTATTTCCATCTATTTTTTCACCATTTGTTTGTCTCAATGTCATCTGATATTATCCTATTTCTTTCTAAGTCTTTCTAAAGCAGTCCCAATTGCTGATTTCTGATGGAATCCATATTATAGGTTTTTGTAAGCATACCTTACATTCACTGTAATTATCAAGCTCTGGCATCAGATATAATAAGTATTTCGAAATTCACTTTCAGAAAGATACGTCTGTGTGGTGAGTAACAAATCGGCTGTCCCAAGTAGAAACACTGTAAGCGCCAATTCGAAAATTGTTCACCAGAGCAGGAAACGTGAAGGGCTCTGCTTTTCAAATTTCTATTTTGTTTAAAATAAAAGTGAATACACATTAATATAGCATAAAATACTCTTGTTTTTTAGCAAATATTTTTATGTCTGTATTTTATGCCCTGACTAGGTTTTGAACACATACAGTGTTTTTATTTGGGAAACCTAAAAATATAAAATAATATATCCCAATTTGCAATGATACTAAGTACTAAAAATTATACTTTATTCACGTTAATTTAACAAATATAGGTATAATTGGTTTAAAAACATTTTAATGGTCATTGTCCTCTAATTGCTGCAATCCACGGTTATGGAGGAGATCGTCCACTGCTGTCTCAGCGACCGACAAATTAAGCCAAAAGGATCTTCTGTTCTCGGGCATCAAAGGAATAAGTTTCTGTATTATTTCATCTTTTTTGCTTTTACGAATACCTCGTACGTTGGTGCTTTGTGGAAAATTTGACACCACGAACCTGACTTGCAGGAAATCAAGCTCCTGATAGTTTTCATCTTCGAAGTTGGTTTTGAATTTAAGGGATCTAGAGCCTCGTGAAAAGTTAGCTTCTACTATGGGATTTATTAAAAATGTTTTCAAAGGATCATTTTCATCTCCCTTTCGATGCTGCCGTTTCTTTTTTAGCCATTGGAATGAAGTTTGTACTTGAAGTACATTTAAATTTTTTCGTGATTGTCTTATAACAGACAATAAATCTTGAAAGTCAAATACATCTCGTGCTTTTTTAATTTGTTGCTCAATGTTGCCATGAACACCATCTGCAGTCATGTGTGTATGACCTTTGGTAAGATACTTGAATGTTATGTTGTTTACATGAGAGGTATGGGTATCATTATTTACCATAATCGCTAATGCAGTAAACAAATACCAGTTTTTATTTTGGGCAGTGCAATTATCTGCCCAAAAAACAAAATTGTTCGTATCACGCTCTTCTTTAATTAAAGCGTATATTGCATCGATGATGTTAGATGCGTCACGACCGCCAAATGCTTCATGCCAAACCACTGAATAGTTGGAATTTGATTTCTTTTTTAAAGAAGCGAAGACTTCATTAAAAACAACTAAACGACTTGTAAAAAAGACATCTTTGTTTCCTGGCATAACTGGTAACAATAATACTTTTTGCAAGTCAAAAGAAAAATACTTAGTTTTATTAGTTTCTGGTAATTCTGCATCAATTTTGTAATATCTATTAGCATCATCTGCTTTCTTTTTGTGTGCCTCCCATTGAGTTTTTTCGGTAGAAGATTCGATCGAGTTTTCTGTGCCTGTGCTGCTTGCTTCTACAAAATTTTTGTACTCTAAACAATCAGAGCATGAATCCATTTGGGGCATGTGTAAAGATATTTTCATTGTCTTCATCATTTTTCTGTAAGTTTCAATTTGACATATACCTGGGTGCTTTAATTTGAAGTCATTAAACATTGAAGCAACTGTTAAATTTGAAGGCAAATATCTAGTGAAAGGAGCATTTTTGCGGCGGTAATGACTCACGCAGGGATTATAAGAGTTTATATGGTTTACTATTATGTCCCTGTTACGGATGTTACTGGATTTCTTACCTCGATTTTCCTTTACATATGCGTTAAGCGGCTCCTTTTTGATAGCATATGCTAATTCATTGATAACCGAATCACTGGTATAACCAAATGTATTGAGTAAAAATAGCTTGCATACTGGCAGAAATTCGGTGTTATCCTTCTTAGCTAAATAAAATACCCTTGTTTCATTTTTCTTATACACATTATTAGCAGCTGCTGGAACTCTTCTACGGAAAACAGGTCTGAATGAAACACATTTTGCAAGCCAGATCCTTCGAGTTGTGTAATCTGTATCCCAATATGCATTCCAAATATCTGCTCGGCATTCTTCGCTGAATTGAGAGCAAGACTTCTTACACTTCGCAGTGCATCTAGGCAAAATGGGATGTTTATTTTTGTTATCTATACTTTTTTCTATAGCTGACATTTGTCTCCTTTTCTTAGTGACTTTTCGTTCCGTAGGTATGCTTTGGCGTTCAGTAGGTATGCTTTCAGATGTCGAATCTGGATGATCACTCACGTTTCCAGGATTCGAGTCAGGTTGGTAATGTGGGTCGGTAATGCTATCATCACTATCCCCTTCTGAAGATGAAACCTCCAAATCATGTCTAAGCATTTCATCAATCTCTTGAGGGTAACCATTATTGCTATCAGCTTTGCTATAAATCGATTGCTCCTCCCTAAAACCAAAACAATAATGAGAATAAAGTTTTGAATATATTATGATATGTAGTTTTATGTTAGTTTTATTTTTAGTTTTATATATGATGCTTCATTCTGAAGCTGCCACAGGCAGATAAACTGATCGAATGATCTCCAAGAAGCAAAAGAAGAAGAAGAAGAATAAAAAGTTCTATATTATCTATAAAAAAATCGTTTACCTTTGAGTATCATTTGTGGATGATTCTCCCCAGTCATTGTTGTCCAGATTTCGACTCATATCTAGTATTAACTGAGTTCTTCGATTTTTATTCATATTTATAATATGCCGACAAATTTGTACTTCACTTAACACAAACTAACAAACGACTAAAAAATGTGTAATGATTGCAACTTCAACGGTCTCAGAGAATATAAACAACATAAATATAATTTTGATGATATCGACAGTATTGAGTTTTGGCAAATGTAAACTCTATGATTCCCACGGTAAATCGCTGTAAATCCCAAAACTAAATAAAAACACTGTATATCCCGTATATACAGTGTTTATACTTGGGAATATGGATATAATGTGTTTTAAATTGGTAAAATGAAGTTGGAATGTGATATACAGTGTTTCATAGCAACCATAAATTGTGGTTCTGCAAATTTTTTTATTTTTTTTTTCTTCGTCAAATGGTAGATAATATCACCCCATATCCAAAAATGCAATAAAAGCTATTTAAAAAAAATGGATATACAGTGTTTCTACTTGGGGCAGCTGAAATTTGTTACGTACTTTTCTTGAGCATTTAAATAAACATTTACACATAAGTTTCCCAAACCACTGTTAATAGTTATTCCCATTGACATAAACAACAAGGAGAAAAAGAAAAAGAAAATACTTACCGGTACCTTGTCGACCTCTGGACATTTGTCTTTCACTGGTTCTAGTAGTTCTTTAATTGCCCTTGTGGTATCTGGGTCATTTTTCTGTATATATTTGATGACTTTGTTTTTACCGCCCTCAAGTCCTACTAGGTTCTCGTCAACCCAAGTTTTATATTTGCCTTTGCCTTTGCTTTTGTGGCTTTTATCTTTTGGTGCACAGAAAGCGCTCTGTGCAACTAAAAAATATAGAAAATAAATAAGTATACAAGAATCAGGTATAGGTATATCACTCTAGCGATAAAAATGAACCATTAGACTTAGTTTTCCAGTATTTACTATTTTTTATTATCATAGTAAATTAATTTATAATTTTCTCAACATTTTTATGTTATTATTAATTTATTATCGACCCTTTCTGCCACCACAAAAAAGATTATGTGTTTGTCGTAGCAGAGGACATAGACATTCTTGTCTTGTTTGCGGCATTAGGAAGAAAGCAGTTCAATGTTGTCTGTCCAAAGTGTCCCAATTTTTTTAAACCTTAATGCTTCTCCATGTATTTTCAGGGTGCGACACAACATCATCAGTTTACAAGATCGGCAAACTTAACCCTATAATGCGCGATTTTTTGTATTGTAATAAAAAAAATATTTTTAACTGCATTAGGGTATAAACTTATGCCTAAAAATAGTAAAAAAAATCTAACTTTCAAAAAAACATTAATTTTTTGAAAAATCTTATTGTATCATATATGATACATAGCGGAAATTTTTACAAAACAAATTTTATTACATTATTAATAAGTATAATATGTTACAATAACTAAATATCTAAGTTGAATGGAATTTATGAAAACAATTATTATTTTTGTTCAGGCAAAGATATAGTTCACATTTTGAACATTGAATATACGAAAAAGAAGTACACCTGGGCATCTTGCATATCTGTCTTGTGTCTTTGTACAATGGCCAGTGTGAGTGACCATCAAGCCTTACGTCTTTTGGAGGAATATACGTTGTTGTTGCTGACCTTTTCTTTTTTTCGGCTATTTCTTTTTCAAGATCTGATGGCCTTCCTCTCTTCACCAAACGATTACTTCCAACGTTGCATAAGCAATATGCCACTTCAGCCCGAAACTCGGCAAGTTTCATACATTTCTCTGCCTCCTTTTCTCTGGAACATCGACGGTAAAGAAGCCAAGAATTTACAAGCGTCATATCAAGAAGATGATAGAATAGCCTCATATACCACTTTTTTGATTTAATTTTGATTTTGTAGCGGCCAATCAGGCTATCCATAAGGTCCACCCCTCCCATATGTTGGTTATATTCCTGGACCAACTTAGGACATTCAATGTTGATTTTTTGTTTTCTTTTTCTATCAAACCTTTCAACATTTCCTTTCGGCAATTCTCCAGCATATGTTGACAACAAACAAACAGTCTTGTTGTCTCTCCAGGCCACTGACGATATTTCCACGCCTTCAAAGTCACACACATACTCAACTGAAGTCCCACGATCCATTTTTTTTGCTTCATCTTCAAATGGTAATTTACAGTTTGGAATACGGTTTCGTCTAACAGTGCCTAGGGAATATATACCTTTGGTAGCAAGATATTGAAGTAAAGGCAATGACGTATAATAGTTGTCAAAGTAAACAACATAATTGTGATTTTCCGGGATAATCCTAGATAATCTGACAACTACATTGGCACTTGCTCCTAGGTCTGTTTTATTTACCCGACGATTCCTTTTATCATTTTCTGTACCAGTGTACATTTCGAAATTGTAGGAATATCCACTAACACCGCATAAAACGAAAAGTTTGTATCCCCACTTGTGGGGTTTGGCAGGCATGTATTGTTTCATATAGTGCCTTCCTTTTGAGGCGCACATCTGCTCATCTACTGAAAGTTTTTATTCCAATGATATGCTTTGGAATTTGTTATTCAAATGATCGACAAGGGGTCGTAATTTATGAAGACGATCTCGATCCACATCATTTTGGTCCAAACTTGTATTGTCGTTGAAATGTATACATTTTCTGATAAATTCGAATCTTTTCTCACTCATTACGTTTTTTATTTGCTGATAGTCTAGGGAATTGGACCAATAACTACGACAATTAGGCATGTGAACTAGGGACATATAGATGCAAATTCCTAGGTATTGATTTATATCTGTGGTGGTCACTCCAGCAGGTTTACTCGGATCCTTTTGAATAACATATGTATTGGACTCTGTTACAATTTTTTCGATCAACTCATTGTCAAAAAAGTACTAAAAAAAGCATATGGTGTTGACAAATCCATTATAGCATTAGAAAGGTTGGTATCTCCTCTAAAAGTCTTCGCCAGTTCGTCAATGGATAGGTTTTTTTTCTTTCACAATATATTTTTGATTCGAGTAGTGATTGGCTCAACCTCCACATCGACATCGACGATAGTTGGCTCCTCAATAGGTTCTATTGGTTGGTCTGGAAACTCTGTGACAGTAACCTCATCTTCAAACTCTACAGGTAAGCTTTGAATATCAATATTCTCGTCAGGATCTAAGTTTGTCTCATCTCTAAAACATTCTTCAGAATCACTATTGTCCAATTCGTCATCACTGTTCCAAAAATTTGCTGCCAACTCCTCTAATTCACGCTCTGACAAAGGTCTTTTACCATACATAATGACTCTGTAACAAAACGCAATGTATCAGATCTGATACAACCGTAGAAAGAGGCGAATTATGAAGAAATTACTCATACAAGTATAAATTAGCTCGATCTATATTTATATTACTTACCTTCTAAACAAAGTTCATACAGCCAAAATAAAAGAATTACGAAAAAACGAATAAAACAAAAAAAATCTGAGAAGCTACAATGCGTGCTCAATGCGAATAGGCACTTGCCGGACAACTAGGACGTATCAGATTTAATACAAAGCGCAGCGACGGCTTTAAACACACACAATTTAAGGAATCGATTATTTAAATAGGTTGTAGCAGATCTGCTACATTGCGCAGTATAGGGTTAAATTCATTAAACTTTTACGGAATCGTTCTGAGTTAGCTAGCGGAACAGCATTATTTCTCAGTGGAAAAGCTGAGCCATCTTTGCTCACTATCGTTGGCGATCGTTTTTTTTGTCTCCTTATATGGTGGAAATAAAGATGATTCGCTGACATGAGATACAAACGACATTTGCCAAAACAATGACCAAAAATATATTAAACTGATTCTTCGCTTCCGTTAACACAAGACCAGTTCGTTTCCACAGACTTAGAGCTGGTTACAAGAAAACAATGTGATCCTGAAGATTGTGGCTGGAAAAAGCATGGAAACATTTGGATACCAATCAAAATTTCCAAAACTCTAGCAACTTCTGAAATTAATTTTCTGCAGATGCAAGGGAAACTGTGGAAGTATGAAATTGTCTGTTGATTAGGTCTAATGGGGATATCCCTTAAAAAACGCGCCTCCATCTCATATATGGTCAGGAAAAAGGTCGATAATTAATTTATAATAAATGAAATGAGGTTGAATGCTCGAATAAATGAACTTTGAAAATAAGGCTATTAACGAGCACAAGTTAATTAAATCAAGCCCAAGTACTTTCGCTTAAAATAGCATCTCATGAGTACAATATTTACAGAAAGCCCACCCAAACAGATCATGTTATACATGAGACATCTAACCATCCAACCCAACATAAAATGGCTGCTTTCAATAGTTATATTCACAGATTACTTAAATTTCCACTTTCAAATGATAACTTTAATGTAGAACTCAACACTCTCAAACAAATTGCTTTAAATAATGGTTATGATCCCAACATTACCCATAAGCTTCTAAATAGAGCCAAACTCAAAATTACAGAAAAGCTTGCATATTCATCACAAAGTCCTCTCCAACAAAATGCTTCTAACAACATCAGATATTTCTCTTTTACTTATATTAGTAACATTTCTAATAAAATAGCTAAACTTTTTACTTCTGCAGTTGAAAACATCAAAATTTCCTTTAAGTCACACAACACTGTAGGTTCCTTTTTAATTAACACCAAAGACAGGCTGAACACACTTGACAAAAGTGGTATTAACAAATTAAAGTGTGATGATTGTGATGCCTCTTATGTAGGCAGAACCATAAGAAAGCTATCTACTAGAATATCAGAACATTTAAAAAGACCAAACTCTTCAAGTTTTGGTCAACATTTAGAGTCTAGCAAACACAATTTCAACATCAATACTGGGTCATCTATTTTGCATGACATCAGTAGAAAGAAAAACTATTTGGAGTTGGATCTATTGGAAGATTTGGAGATCACAAAGGAAACGAATGGAAACTCTCATTGTCTTAATACTCAAATTAATTTAAACTGTACTAAATTTAAACCTATTTTTAAAAACTTTATTACAGCTTCACCTCGTAGTGGACCCAGCTCGGCTGTCTAGACTTCCTGCACTGAGTTTATACATTAAGAATCTACCAATTTCAAGCTCTGTTCAGCATTACTATTGTATTTAACAATTTACACAACTAGCTTGCTCAGTATCAATTGATCCACGGTTGGAGTTGATTTCACTCTTCATACCTTTGCATAATCTACATATACTAATTCCACAGTTTTATATTTCAACACCTGTTGATCAGTTGGTCTTTAGTAATGCTATTACATATTAGTTTTATAGTTCCCCATTGGTTTGAGGTTTAACTGAACTTCTTAAACTATACCCATTTACACACTGCTTTCAATTCTGATTTAATTTTAATATTTCAATTTCATACTCAATTTTCTTCTCGTTTTGCAGTATTGACAGTGCCTGGTAGACCATTTTATTGTAGTCAACTACCCACTGTCCAATAGATCGTTTGGTCTATTTCTTTCATTCACACTTTATGTACACTTCATTTAGCCTCAAACCTACAACCTTATTATTACAGACGGGTGTGAGTGTGAGATCTGGATTATGCAATCTAGTTTAAATCAAAATATTCTATATGTCATACTTCATCTGCTGATTTTTTTCAGTAGTAGTTCCAGTTGGACCTTTGCCCAATGACAACTTATACAGAATTTTAATATTTGCTGATCACAGATCCATAACTTTGACTGCCTATCAAAGTTGTCATATGTCACATGTCACCGTATCATTTCCACGTAGATCATTATCCCTCCAGATACTGACAGAGAATGTAGCGTAGAATCTTTAAGTAATTTTAAACTAAAAGAGGTTAATCTTTGTAAATGGGTATATTTATTTAAAAAACCCTTAAAAGGGCCACATCAATAGAACAAACGTTTTCGGACTACACAGTCCATCATCAGGTTATTAAAATCGAAAATGCCTAAAAATAAGTATAAACCATTTAGTTAAAACAAACGAGATTTTGAAATTTTGACTAAGGTTGAAAAGCAAAAGATGGTTATACTTACTAGGTCATAATGCCTGAGCCACCAAAATATTAAGGTAAAAACCCTTTAAATTACATTTAGTTATGAAATGTTGTACATTGTGTTATAAAATAACTGTGATGTTATATATTAAATTAAATTTGACCAAAGGTAACACATGGCTCAAATGGGTTCCAGAGCCGGGCGAGAGACAACCTCTGCACTCGGAGAACAACGTGGAACTGATTGACAAGATACTTTTGAAGGATGAAGATAACAGAATGTCAATGCAACAAAAACTATAAAAGTTGTACATAGTATTACTACAGCCAAAAGATTCAACAAGTTTTGATGATTTTAAAAATAACAACAATCTAGGTGTTGGGATTTAAAAACTTTTTATTTATTAATTTAGGGTATAAAAGATGTCAAATCAATGATGGTTTTATAGTCATGATTAATATAATGACCTGTGCCTTAGGCAACTTATGTTGCTTTTCGTCGTATGGAATGTGGTCTAAAGTGTATTTAATTTTTGGGTTAGCTTGTATTTGTGAAATTTATCCTTTTATGTTTAACACATCTAGGACAAGGTAAAAATTAAATAACAAATATTTGAAGCTAATATCAGACCTCATGTTTAAATGACTTTATTTAGGAATGCTCCTATGGTGAAGAATTAATAAAATTAAGTTTAGTAAGATGGAAATCTACAGGCTGAAGATACTGAAGTAGTAACATATGTGATTGAATTTAAAATCGAAGAGACTGGGTTCCTCAGAGACTGATGAGAATGAAAGTAAAAGAAATGAAAGGAGGGGGGGGGTTGAAGAAGAAAAGGAGTTGATCAACAATTAGAGATAATAGGGGTCCTTTATACTTAAAGTATCTAGCACCCTGAACAAAATCTATTTAGGTAGTATTAAATTCAGTTTGTAGAAACCTGAAATTTGTTGTATAAGTGTGCTACTAAGTTGTTGACCGAAAGAAGGTGGACAAAGGTAGATTAGGATTCTATGTAATATGGTAGATTATGAATTTTAATAAATTGTTAGATAATGTTTAAGTGATTACTAAATTAAAACTATTGGATACATGTTTAATATATCAATTGACCAAGAAATAATGAAAGAGAACAAAATTAACAGGAAAACGATGTAGAAGTGAAGAGTGAACTGAGTGAAGAGTGAAGTGAGTGAAGAGATAAGATAGTGAAATGTTGGTATGGTGGATGTGGATGGTTCTGAAGTTAAAATTGGGGTCAGAAATTTGTGAGAGGAAGGTGTGACGATATTGTATAAAAAGGGGTGTTTGAAGAACCACAAGATTATGTAGGAATAAGTTGTTGACGTTTGTATAGGAAAATAAGGCAAAGAAAATAGGACAGTATTGTGAAGTGTGGACTATGAAAAAAGTTGACGATGTAAAGGTTGAAAGTCACGGTTGAAAGATACATGGCGATTAACACAATTGGGGCTTTTTTGTTTTTCTTTGACTATTTCCAAGTCTTCATATAGGTCTAATTTTAGAAAATTTTTTTGGGGAATATTATGTAACAAAGAGACGTCTTCTGGGATGTTGAGGGTATGTTTATGTTGTGCAAGATGTTGAGAGAAGGTGGAAGTGTTCTCTTTTTTAGTGTGTTCTAAGGAACGAGAAGTTAGTGATCTACAGGTTCTACCTATATATGTAGCTAGCTACATATATATAGAATATATTCCCAGAAGAAATTTAAACCAGCCATGACAATTATAGATGGGTATTGAATCCTTTTTTGAGCAAATCTTTTCAACCAGCTGACATAAGAACAAAAATTAAAGAAACATGTTACTGCAATATCAAGTGATGAAATGTTAAAACTAGACTTTTGTCCCAAAGCCCGGATCACTTTTGGACTAGAAGTATGCAAGAATACCCCAAACTGACGAGCGAGGGAGTCAAATGATTCGTTCTCTTTGCAATACCTTATTAATATATTTTTAAGCAAAGTGTTTAATTATTATTTATATTTTACGCGGGAGTTAACTTAATGTTAAATCTAGCCTAAATAAATGACAACAATATTGTGATAATTAGGTGGTTATATTTTTATTTGACGTTTTTATTTAAAGCTATGAAATAAAAATCCTTGTACAAAAAGTTTCTTTATTTTTTGAATATCCCTTGGCGACACCCTCAGCTATTTGCGTGACATTCTAGGGTATCGACCCACACTTCAGAACCACTAATCTCCAAGCAACTGATATACTAACAGACTATTACCTTTATGTACTATTCTACTAAGCTTAATAATAAGCTTAAATCATAGCCATCATTTTACATATCATCCTTAAAATAATTCCATTTTCGATAGTTTGGGTTTCGAGAGGGAATGAAAACTAGGGAAGTAATATGTGAGTTATTTGTTCTATTACAAAGATGTAGAAATCGACAAAAATACGTCTATATCAGTTTAATTGATATAAGGTTGAATGATCGAATAAATGAACTTTGAAAAATTAAGGCAAATATCGAACACAAATTTAATAATCAAATCTTGCCCAAGTACTTTCGATTTCTACTGCATCATCAGAGGCATTTTGTCAAATTTGGGCTATGCAGCAAGCGCAGAATGTAATAAATATGAAATTGACATAAATTGTACATAACACTACACTAAAACAAGGAAAAACCGCTTAAAATTATTTAAAAATTATTCTACGCTCAACATTCTTGTCGGCAACAGGAGAGCTCCATTACGTCGCTGATATAAAAGCGTAAACAAAAAAACAAATATAATAATAAATAACACAACAAGAAAGCACTGGGAAACATACCCAAATAAATTGATGATGATTGTACTAATAATCACATTATTATTATTCAAAAAAATATTATTTCCAATTAGCTATTCCTCGCAACACCTAAAATTATCAAAAATTCTACTTTAATACCCACAATTTTAGACTTACCAATAAGAAAAACCACTAAAAACAAAAAAGTGCGTGTGTTCATTTTGCCGAAACAATTAAAAATCAATGCGGAATATCTAAAACTTTGTTTTTATATCTTGAACCATAATAACCTATTACGGGTTAATCTTAAAGTGACAAACATTTTAAGATAACATTTCTGAAGAATTTTATAGAGGTTTTACTAAACAAGTCGCTGTCGTAAATAGTTTGATGGTCTTACGATAAATTATTGTCAAAAGGTTAATATTTAATTACTAATTTACAAAAATATATAGTTTTTGTTTATCAGTGGTTTAACATTTCGATTTGGTTCCACGAAACTTGCAGATCCATTCTTCATTATTATAAATTAGATTCAGTTGTTACTGTTATAGAAAGCTGCTCGTCTTTTTTTTTATTATTAAAAAAAAAACAAAGTCGCATCCACCCGAAGGTTATTAGCGACATTCCTGTAACATTTGTGACACTACTAAATTAAATATTTGTAACAATCTATTATTGTAACAGGTAATTAAAATTTGTAAATATTTGTAACAATTAATTAAATTTAAATTAATTTTAATCATATTTAAGTTAAATTTTGTGTAACAGGTTAATACATTTTAAGTAACCTAATAAATTGTGTCCGGAACAAAATTTTTATCGAGTACTCCTTTCAGGTTATTTGGAAACTTGTAAGAATGTCTTTGATTTACATATATAGAACAGTCTATCAAGAAGTACTTTATACTGTCTACTGTATTGCATGTGTAACATTTTGCAGATTTACTATTTGAGAAGAGATAGGCGTAAGTATAACTACAGTGTCCAAGTCGTAGACATGTAATAATAATTTGAGATCTTCTACTTTTGGCAGTGGATCCATGAAAAAATGTCACTCTTGATGGTTCTGAGCTTAGAACTGGAATCATTTCACTCCAGATTCGACGCACTTAACACCTTAAGTATTAAAAATAAACTTTTAGATCGCTAGCAACACTCCAACACTTTTGGATTTTATTTCTCTAGATATGGAGTATAGGAGTATCTCTTAGAACAATAGAACTACTTATATAGACCGCTGTTTTAAAACTAGAAGGTTGAAATTTGTAAAATCAGTAAAATTTAAGCCAAATCAAAAGGGGTCCTTGACTAACTTTGCACAGTTGACCTGGAGTTACCCTTAAACAAAATTGTAAATTGATCTAAAATCAGATACTTTGTATTTTACGGTGAAAATATTCATTACCTTGTCTTCAGCAACAGAAACTCATGATTCCCAGTTACACCTGTCATTCTAGAGTGATTATCCGACCAGCAACAAAGAATCACAGTTTTTTGAAGCGAAGATTCTATACTGGCGTTGCATTACTTCTTTTTCTCTATAGTAAAATGCTGTGGCGATCATGATGGAACTAGAGCCACAAAATAATTTCGTCACGGGTAGCGTCATAGACTATCGGTTCTTGACATCGATTCACTACTCTCGATCAATTCGTTTTTAGTCATCATATATTTACTCTAAGCGGGGGATAAAGGGGTAGAATGTGAATACATGGAGTTGATTCCAGTTTACTCCAACTAGTTTCTTCTGCTCAAATCCGACTCTCACCTTCACGCTGGTATCCCCTGTTAACCGAGCAACCCAGCTGGAGATCCAGTATCCAACCCGGGTGGAAAGTTAGTTCGGGAACTGACGAGAGCGGATGAAATGGCACTCCGAAAAGGGGGTTTGGTGTTGGGTTAACTACCCAACCTGGTAAAACCCCATAGTTACGAAATCGAAAGTCAAAATGCCGGACGGAAATCTCGACGACGACCATGTATTTACCTGGAACGTTCGCACACTTAACGAACCTGGAAACATCCGCAAACTGTGTGACATATTAAGTACATATAAGTACGATGGAAAGGCCATGTCATAATCCAAAAAGCAAACTACAATATCGTTACCCTAAGTGCAAAATGTCGTATGTAAAAAATTTCAATTTTTTTTATTAGCGATAAACATTGCTCTTTATGATATGCAACCGCTGGCTAAATGTCGTATGTCATCAGCTGATTTATTAGAAGTTATAGTAAGAAATCAAAAAGTCGTATGTTTTTACAGCTGTTTGTTGTAACTGCAAAAAGTCTTATGTATGGAAGTGTTGACCATGTGCTGACACTGAAAACGTGACCCGTAAATAATTGTTTGATTCATTGTGTATTACATTAAAGAAACATTATTCTTTTTACATATTATTATTCTTAAAATGGTTTTAATTATTATTAATTTTACTTAGTTGTACTATTTTAAGATGAAAAGTGAAGAAACAACTGTTTTAACCAGGTGAGGATTTTTAGGTTATAAAAGTGTCTTTAAGTTTAGAAAGTTGAGAACAGTTTTTATTAGCTTTAGAGGTAAGTTATTAAGAGATCCTAGTTTTAGTACGGTATTTCAAATGTTTTGGTAGGCCTACAAGGTGTACAAATGATAATTTATAGTAAAGCATCTTTCAGTACAGTAATTAAAGTAATAATTGAAATTAGCTACATTATACAATCAATTAATTATACAAATTATACAAATACAATTAATTAGATATTAAATAATTGAAATTTATGACTTTTGTGGGCCTAGATTGCCTATAATAATAAATATCCTATGACATCTATAAGGTTAATTATTTTGAACATGACACATTGTTTCAGAAAAATGCTGCCAAGGGGAAAATGATAATTGCCTTAGTGTCAAGGAAAAGTGCGTTAAATATATCTGCTGCCGAAAATAACTTCGAATAAGTACAAGGGGGAGGGGTTACTTAACAATTATTTAACAGAAACATAAAGTACATTAAATTGAGTTTTCTATATTGAGCTCACAACCTTGATAAAACATTATAGCAGTGTATTATCCCTTTTTTGTTTGTATTTCTATTAAATCAAAACAAAAATACAACAGGCAACATAAATTTATTGTTTTGATTTATTTTTTTGTTTTAGAACATTGTTGCAATCAAAAAGCTCTCCACCTGTTCCTGATGTGCAAATCAGCAACGTACCACATGATAAAGATGCTATTAAAGGGACCTTATTAGCTGCTACTGAAGTCTGTGAAGTGAAGCTTCCTACGCCCGCACAAGTGCAAGAGAATGACACTACTCGAGATTTAGCTTAAGGCTGTTTTCGCAGTTATAGCATACTGCGATTTGAAGTGGGCGTATCACTTACTTTTCTACACTGCTGTGTCAGACCCTACGTGACTTCCTGATAGTTTGGATGTTTATTCAGTGGCGCCGGCCCACGGGTTGTTTAAAATAAATGTATTATTCTCCATTCAAATTAGTTTTGTCGGAATACTTTTTTTTTAGATTAATTATCGTAGATAATGTTTTAAAAAGAATAAATCACATTTTTAATTTATATGTCTTAGCTAAACATAGTATTAAATAAAAATTTGTGAAACGTGACTGCAAAAAACACCATGGTACTTGTTTATAATAAATTTAAATTTTATTATATTAATATTAATATATAATTAATATTTTGTTAATATTTGTTAGAGAAAACTGATATTAGCGTAGTAAAAATTAAACAAAAAATATTTTTATTTATCTATAAAAAATTGGTACCTGCGAAACCATCATAATAGTAAATGTATTTATCTGGCAAGTATTTCGAGGCGACGCACTGCGAGGAAAATGTTCTCTGAATGGAATATACATTATTTTAATATATTTATGGCCGATGATATCTGCAACTGTTTCCGTATGTTTTGCATACTGCCTGTAGGAAATCACAGGTATATTTAATGCAGCGGGCTGCTGATGTATGTCTGAATAACCAGAACCATTCAAGTTCAGTGAATTGTTACCAGAATCCTATGTTGCTATCTCCTTTTCAATATTCCACATTTGACATTTAAAAGTCAATGTACTTATCAATCCGTCCATTTTTTCTTTGATAATCTCCATATTAGAAAAGTTGCATGAACATCTTGCTAAACATAGTATTAAATAAAAATTTGTGAAACGTGACTGCAAAAAACACCATGGTACTTGTTTATAATAAATTTAAATTTTGTTATATTAATATTAATATATAATTAATATTTTGTTAATATTTGTTAGAGAAAACTGATATTAGCGTAGTAAAAATTAAACAAAAAATATTTTTATTTATCTATAAAAAATTGGTACCTGCGAAACCATCATAATAGTAAATGTATTTATCTGGCAAGTATTTCGAGGCGACGCACTGCGAGGAAAATGTTCTCTGAATGGAATATACATTATTTTAATATATTTATGGCCGATGATATCTGCAACTGTTTCCGTATGTTTTGCATACTGCCTGTAGGAAATCACAGGTATATTTAATGCAGCGGGCTGCTGCTGTATGTCTGAATAACCAGAACCATTCAAGTTCAGTGAATTGTTACCAGAATCCTATGTTGCTATCTCCTTTTCAATATTCCACATTTGACATTTAAAAGTCAATGTACTTATCAATCCGTCCATTTTTTCTTTGATAATCTCCATATTAGAAAAGTTGCATGAAAATGGAGAATGATTATTCAACCTTGAATAGATATATATATATTATATATATATATATATATATATATATATATATATATATATATATATATATATATATATGTATATATAATATATATATATATATATATATATATATATATATATATATCTATATATATATATATATATAATATATATATATATATATATATATATATATATAAGTTAAATAAAAGCTTTTAAAAACGGTTGTAATATAAATAATAAATACTAAAGCAGTGCAATTGCTCTCCTTTTCCTTGACATAGGACGTTTACTGGGACTCATTTTTTATCTTGTCTCTTATAACTTATATCACTAACCTAATGTAATACTTAAAAATACGCGTAAACTAAAGAACTTTTAACTTACACCACTAAACTAATAATATATTACTTAACATACACGTAAACTAAATAATTTCAATGTTTTCAAAATAAATAAGAATACTGTAAACTGTAAAAACTAAGCAAATTGATAAAGAAAATACAAGAATGAAAGAACTAAAATGGATTCTAATTCAAGCGAACTAACTGACCGTACCCATAGAGAAATAAAAATAAGACCGTACCGTACGCTCATGAGATTT